CATCTCCATAGCTCCATATCTATTTGCAGAGGGGGCCAGAATCCATCCCATCTCCTCCCCCCCTTCCTGTTTCCATGCCTCTTGCCTTTGCCTCCCCGCACAAGCCCCACAGCACGGAGTCCCCATGCGAGCAGCCCCCTCGATCCGCCCCTCATCCCGCAGCTATTTTAGAGAAAGGCAGGAGGTATTTTTAGTGCTGCCGGCTCCCGGGAGAAGCTCTGAGCCTCTGAGCCGCAACAGTGCTGGCGCCAGGGAAACTGCCGCTGCTCTGGCTGATATTTCTTGTATAATTAAACTCAATCCATCCCAGGGGCTGGGTCTTGGCCACCAACTCAGCGAGGAGGGGAAGGAGTGGAGCCAGAGAGCCAGGGGCTAAGGGCTGCGACGGATGCTGGGAATTGTTTTGCGAACACTGGAAACACCAGGCGTTTGAGGCTTTGGGGAAAGTTTTGCCAAGCACAGGGAGCGAGATGGCTCCAAAAGGGGCAGGGAAGTGGGATTTAATGGGAGCAGAGCCCAAAGCATCACCTTGGCAAAGGACTCCATACCAGCACCATCCCACCCCACTCCCCTGTTGGAGACGGCCTCAAAGGGGTCGTCCACAGCTGGAGAGATGGCAACTAAAGGCAACCTGGGAGAAAGCAACAAGATCTGAAGGGCACCCAGTGCCTGCAGGGCACCCTGGAGAGATCCCTCCTGGTAAACAAAAGCCCGGGCTGGAGCTGGAGCCATGTAGGAAGTCTGGGGGCTGTCTGGTTAGCCAGCATCTGGTGAACACAAGCTGCGGCTGGAGGCTGACAAGCAGCAGCACAACCCCTCCTTCTTCCCACGCCCACCACCCGGCGTCTGTCTGGGGGCCCCAATCTGCCATCGAGGAACAGGGAACGACAGCCCAGAGAAAACACAGCACCTGCTGGGGTTCAGGACTGGTCTGGGGCTGGGTTTGGTTTCCCCCCGTGCAAAGGAACAGAGCATTTATTCCTGGCTCCCTTCAATTCAAGATACATTTCCAGCGACCCAGACACCAAGCTGGCTTTCCAAGCAACAGTGCATTTTATATAACTGATTTCTTTTTTTTGTTGTTTTTACTTTATAAAGCCATACAATGAACTGCAAAGAATCTGACATCTGTACAATGGGAAGACAACAGCGGAGTCACATTCACACACGGACATGGCGCGACCAAAGTCATCCTTACACGCACGACAACATTATGGGCACAAAGATACAAAATATAACGTGGGGTTTTTTTCTTTCCATCTATAAATACACAGAAATGGGCAAGTCTAAATAAAAGTTTGGAACTGTTCATTAACACTGATTAGCAAATAAATCTGTAACGTTCCCAAAGTAACAAAGACAACAACAAAAAAACCCCCACACATAACACGGCGGTACAGGAACTGCCAACAGAAACGTGGGGTTGCTTCCTTTTTTCTTTTTTTTTTTTTTCCTTTTTAAGGAAAATAAAAAATAATAAAATGAAAAAAAAAAAAAAAAGAGCAACCCCAAACCAACCTCGCAATTTGCAAAACAAACGAACGAAATCAAACAAGCCCCTGCGGGCTCCTCTGCTGTCTGATCCTCCTGCCTGCTCCAACGGGAAGGGCTGCCTTTTGTTGATGCTGCTGTCTGGGGTTCTGGGGGCAACTGGTTTCTTTACCTGCCCGACCTGCTGGGTGGGGATTTACTTTGCACTTCGGTTCAGGTGGTTGAACTCACTGGAAAATTGATGCCTGGAGGCTGCGTTGGGTTTTTCTCCCTACCTGGTCTGTTTTCCGTGTGTGTGGTTTGACCACGGGGCAGCCAGCTAATGCTGCAGCCAGAGCAACCCCAAGCTTTGCTCAATTTATGTGCTTAAACCCATAAGCCCACAATCTCCACTGGCAATGATGACGTGGATCATCCCTCAGAATATCTCCCAGGAGGGAGCCCAAGAGCAGCACCACTGAATGGGAAACCCACATGCTGAAAAGGAAGCCCACATTTTGCACGTTGTGGGCACTACAGTCTGGGACAGGTAGCAAATGACACCTCACCACCCCCCCCCCCAAGAGCGTTTCCCAACAAACAGTAACATGGACAGCAAAGGAAGGATGGATAAGAAGGGGCTTCTCCAAAGAACCAACACAAAAAGGGCACATACAACAAATTTACACACACAAAATATATATATATATATATGTGGGGAAAAGTGCGTTTTTAAGGATATCTTTGGCAAGAATATATGCAGTTCTTTGTGCAGGAAGGAGGGATATGTTTGTGTGTGTGAGCGAGAGAGATACCATCCAGCTGCTGACAGCGGCAGTGTGATTACAACGAAACATATGCTGGGCTTAACTCGCACAAGCTCGAATCTCAAATACCATGACTGCATTTAAAAACCAAAGAAAAACACAATCTTTTCTGTCCCTTTCATAAGGAAAAAAATATCAACACTAGGTCCCCGCCAGCCCTGGGACCTGGGTGATCCTCAATGCCAGCTGACGGACTCTCCCTGGGACAGAAAGAGTAGTTACACCTAGAACTGTAACTTAAAAAAGGATATAAAGGGGGGAAAAAAAAGTGCCTTTAAAAGGAGCTGACAAACACCTGGCTACATCATTGGAAGGTGATTAGCTGTGTGTTAACAAAACAATAGAACCTGACGATTTTGTTAGTGTTCGAGATTTGGATATGGTCTAAGTCTTCAGCTAGTGGGTTAGTGGGGAAGCCGTGAGCGGCTCAGGGCCCGAAGCAGGCGTGATGCCATTGGCAGGTATCTGCTGGGGTCAGCTTTTACGCGACATCTCTAGGGTGCTTAGATCTGCTTTGTTTTTATGGGGAGAAAAAGAGGAATGGGAGTTTCAAGCACCGTTTTCCGAGGCAGCAGATTAAAATAAAATTACATTATTATCATCTCTTTTCTCAGCAGTGAGAAAACCGAGTCTGAAAAATAGAGGCTTCCAAAAAATATATCTTTATATATCTATAAACAGTGTTTTCTCTAATCGGTGAATGGCAGGGTGAGGAGATTACGGGTGAGATCATCTCTCATCTCGCTTGAATTTCGCAGAAGGAGGGAAACATCGAAAATGAAAAGGTCTCCACATCCATGTGGCCAGGGAGCTGGGGAGGTGCAAAGCCTCCCCAGGACCCCCCATCCCGCCACTGCCTCGCAACCAACTCCTCACTACGCATCCTCTCAGGTTCGCTCCAGTACATCAGAACAGCTTCCGTCCGGGCACCCGCGCCACTCATTCCCCACGCACACACACACATGCACACGTACATGCACGCTGGTCACACGCATGCCACCCCGACTCGGGAGGGGGGCCCCGCACCTCTTCCCCCATCCGTATTTTGCCTTGCTCTGGATTTTCTTTAAACGTGCAGGTGTTTCCCCGGGGCAGGGGAAGGGAGCGGATATAATGGGGGAGATATGATGCACAGAAAGCAATATGGAAAAAATAAATATTTTTGGAGTGTGAATTTAACCTTTTTTTCCTCCTTAAAATTTTGTTAGCTTACAGTATGTCATCAGTATAGCTTGTATATATATTATAGCTATCAAGGCAAGGGTGCTCCAAAGGAGAAAAACTCTCCAGTGGGGAGGGGCTGCAGTGCTGTTTCTAGTTTTTGGCCCCAGTAGACTATCTGGGCCACTTTGCACTGAAAACTTCTCCCGAAAAGCTCTTGAAGGAAGGGGGAAGGGGACATTTGCAGCAGAGGGCTCAGCAATGACCCCGCAGCTCCAGCCAGAACATTCCTGTGACCCCAAACCCGCACATGCAACTGGAGCATCCTCTGCCCCTCCCCAGCTCCATGGGCTGGGACCTCCGCCTGCTGCCCCCAAGCATGTTTCCCCCCTCTGCAGCAGCACAGGAGCCCTTCACCCCTCTTGCTCCCTGACTGACACTCCTCACCTCCCAAAGCAAAGGGAAAAGCTGACAGCACTGAAGCCGCTGCAGAACTACAATGTGCTCAGGGGTATGAGCCTCCAGCCAGACGGTTTTGGGTGTACATGCGTGCCAAGCAGGGTGGCTCTTGGAGGACCCGTTACCTCCCCACTGAGCCAAAGTTACCCAGCAACCGCAGGTCCTTAGGTCCTTTCCTTTTTTCTTTTTTTTTTTTTTTTTTAGTTTTCTTCCTTCTTTCTTTTTGTTTTAACGTGGCCTCCGAAATAAAAGGAGAAAAAAGCGCCTGAGTTACTTGTAGTCATTCACCTTTCGTGCAACTTGAACGTCCATGCAATTTAAAAACCGCTTGCGTGCCTCCAAAGAGATAGGGGTAGCCACGGGTCAGCTGCTTTGCACAGGGAACCCACCTGTGCCAGCATCTGCTATTATTATAATTATTATTATTATTACAATGTTTTGTTTCTCTTTTGTTTGGGTTTTGTGTTAAGATGTGACAGGCCGCAGGAGAAAACTGCCAAAGAGGACTAGTGATGGGAGAGGATTAGTGTATCCTCTGGGGAGGCTCCAGGAGAGCATCTGCCTTCCCAACGCACGGGGCAGCAGGAGCCCCCACACACCTCCTCACAGGTGGCAGGCACAAGCACCCTGGGGAGGTGGGGAAGTGCCGTGACCCCCTCTTTGAGTGGGCTCACAGCAGCTCACCTGCGATCAGGGCTGGGTTCTGGGTTAGCAATAGAGGTCAGCCCATGGCTGAGCTCCCCAGGGACAGGACGGAACAGGACCGAGTCCCCCCACACCCCCAGCAACTTGCCAGGCTACCAGCAGGTTTCAGGAGAACCAAATGGATAAGCGAGGACCCTCCACTGCAGCCGGGCAAGGGAAGGTTTCCGAGAGCATCTCTTCCAGTGTCCCGCAGACCCAGCCACGTTGTCACCTCCTACGGGTCGTTTCAAACACAAAGCAGAGGTTCGCTGACAGAGCTGCTGGGATGAAGCATGGGTTTTGCCGGTTGTCTCTTTCTTTTTTAACCCAGATGTAAAACAACCAGTCATGGTCTCGCATTTCATCTCAAGTGGATGTCAGGACCATTACGTCGAAAGCTTCCCTGCGGTGGGACATGCATCCTGTCTGGCGTGACTTTGTGGTTCTCTTACATAGGTGCGTGGTTTTGGTTCCTCTATGTGTGTGTTTGGCTTGTGTTGAGTTTTTAGGGGTTCCGTTGGCTTTTGCGTTTTTTTGTTGTTTGCTGTTTTCCTCCAGAATTCCAACCCTTTTTTTTCCCCCAATTCACTTCCCTCTCCCACAATGCACTTCCTCACACTCCTTCTCGGATCAGCTCCAAGTCCTTCTCCAAAATTCAAGAATCACCCGCAAGCACCAGCTCATCTCTTCTGGCTGGAGCCAAGCATGACCCTGGAGACAAAGTTGACAATGGCTGCAGCCGGCTGGTCTGGGTCCAGCTCGGCAAAGAGATGGCAGACGTTGTCTGTGGTGCTCCCTTGCTTCCTGGCCACAAAGCCAAAGAGCCTGGGTGTGAAGAAGACAAGAGGCTCAGTGAGGTTTGCCAGCATTGCTGACTCAATGACCACCACCACCCTCTTCCAGCATGGTCTTGCCCACCTCTTTAACATCCACCTCACACAACACAAAGGGAGACATCCCAAAGCAGACTGCATGGAGACCCATCTATTCTTCCCTTTGTTGTAGTTTCCTTGAAGACCAGCACTGTGTTTCTATCAATTCTTGGCCCAACCCCCCTTGCTCTGTTCATCCATGCCACCCTCCCCATAGGCCATCCCCAAGAAGGATGATCATAGCATTGCCTTGGTTTGTGTGATGACTCCTGAAACCACAGGGGTGTGATGGGCTGGCCATTGGGGTAGACCATGTGTGAGAGGAAGGCCATATGGGGACAAGGGGAGCTGGGTGAGACCATGTGGTTATTTCCATCTCTCTCCCTCAGTGAATAAAATGTCCCCTTTTTTTTTTTAATTAGAACATGCAAACTCAAGTTATAAATACAGGGGAACAGAATGTGAGACAGGCCTAGGCCATGGCATTTCTAATTGGAGAGGGGAAATATCCCAGCAGCTGGACCTCCTAATAAAAAACCCTTCGCTAACACAATGGCTAAAATTAGTGGGAATTTGCCCCTGGAAATGGGATCAGCCAGCAGCTCTGTACTCCTGTGGGTCAGAACAAGGAGGACAGGAGAAAAGGAAAGACCTGGCTGGTGGCTCACAGGCCATCAGCATAACCCCTGGCTCTGCTTCACAAGCTAGCTCCCGCAGGCTCCTCTGGCAGTTTCCAGTTTGCTCAGTTCAGGCAGGGCCATGCCTGCTCTAACTGGGAATTTGGGGATGAAAGATGCTTCCCGAGTCCTCGTTCTTGGGTGAAACACTCCTTCACCAAGGAGCTGAGCTCATCTGACAGACAGCCAAGAGGCTGCCCTGCATGATGCATCTCCCAGCCAATGCTCAAACACAAGTAGGAGCCACCCTGACACCCTGGGAGGAATCGGCTGGGAAACACAGCAGATACTTACTTGGCTGGGCCACTGCCATCAGTTTTAGTCCACCTGCAAGGAGAAGAGGAGGTGTGAGGGATGGTGCATCCTGCACCCCACAGAAACAGGGCCATTATGGGGGCCACCACACCAGTGCTGGAGGGCCAGCCTGGCTTTGCACAGGCTTGGCTCTATCGAAAAAAAACTGTTGCAGCTCTCTCCCAATACAAAGATGCTTAGAGACACCAAGAAGTCACCAGAAGTGGTGTTGCCCCACAGTATCCAAGGGGACCTTCAACCCCTGCTCTCCACAGACACAAGTGGAACAGAGCAAGCAAAGATCCTGCTCCAAGGAGCCAGGAGCCTGGGGGAGGGAAAGGGGCAGGGGCCATGTGCTTGCCCCAGGTTAGGGCACTCACTTTCGTTCCTGGGGGTCCAGGTTGCAGAATGTGACAGTGTTGAGGGGGTAGTGTCGTCGGAAGAACAATCTGAAACACAAGGCAGGGAGTGTCAGGACCAGCGAGCCCCCACCTCTGCCCCACCACAGCCCAGCCCCATCAGAGGGGACACTCCCATAGGTTCCCCTAGGATGTTTCAGGAGTCAAGGACAAAGCCCAGCCCTGCCCATGACCAGGTTCATGCCACCCAGGGACATCCTTCATCAGCACACTCCCTGGATCACAGTCCCATCGACTCTGGAGACCCAGGGCAGTGGCCATGGGGACTCTTACTTCCTCTGGTTGTCAGTTAAGGTGATGCCTTGTGCAGAGACTTTGAAGTGGACGATGGTAGCAGTGGGTGTGGGGTCGGCCACCAGCGTCTCAGCTACAGCCTTTGCAATAGCCTGGGGGCCTGTCAGTGACTCCATCTCCACTGAGTTGATGAAGAGGACATTGCAGGCTGGAAAGGGAGACAGCAGGCATGGGGTCAACCACTGCTCCAAGCTACATTGGCCCCCATAACATCCCCTCTCTACTCACCTGCGCCCTGTTTGAGGAGGTCTGTGGATGAGTTGGTGGCTGACGTGGTGTCTTTCTTTTCCTCCATGGGATCTAGAAGACATGGGATAGTTACTGCTGCTCCCTGCTTGGAAACCTACCCCATCCTCATAGCCTCTGGGGGCAGATGTAATCCCTTCTGGTCTTGGCTCTTACCTCGGTCAGGAATGACCAGCTTGCAGGGCAAGGCCAAGGGCATGATGGAGTGCTGGTACACCAGAGCCGAGAGACAGCCTGGGGAGAGAGGGGAGATGATAAGCATGGGGCTGGGAAAAGGGGTTTCCCTGGTGTTAGGACATTGTTGCTCCAGATGGATGGGAGCAGACTTTTTTGCTGGATTTCTTCACTGTGGTCCTAAGGCCACACATGGCAATTCCTCTTACTGAAACCATCATGCCCACGGAGGGCTCAGGGAGCTAGCAGAGATGCCAGGGCCACATCAGGAAGTGCAGAGGTCCTAGTGCAGTGCCTTGGAGCACATTAGCCATGGGATAAACGAAATAAGGTGGGGAGTCCCTGCCCTCCACACTATCCAGCAGCATCATTTTTCTTAACACATGCCAAACGGTATGTACCCATGCACACAGGCACATTTGTGTGCATGACCCCTGAGGCTCCAAATGCCCACAGGGCTTGGTTACACAGGGACAAGCAATGCAGTGGGGGCTTTCCCAGACACCTCACAGCTCTTCTTTGGTAGTCCAGCAAAGGCAAGGCTTTCCCAACCCAACCCCGCGTGTAGTAGCACACTGGGGGCACTCACCAAAATTGGGCTCGTTGGGGCATCCTTTTAGTTTCACACCCCGCGGGCTGGTCTCGATGAGGAAATGTCTCACCAGCTCATTGGTGATGTCTCCTGGGAAGAGATGGAAAGTTCTCACACCACAGCACACCCTCCTCAAATCCAGCCCTTTGCATAGGGTCAACCCCAAGCCAGGTTCCCCCGTGGTGCTGGTGGGCTGGGGAGGCTGTGCGCATTTCACATTCAGATGCCCCAAGCCCTCCACAGCTCAGGGTAGAAGGTGCCTGGTGCTTCCCTGTGCCCTGGGAGGGGAGGGCTCGGAGGAAGGGATCCTGCAACATCAGCACATATCCAAGGGCACAACTGGCTCAGCAGGCACAGCTGCCCTCTCGCCCTGACCAAACGATGGAAAGCATCTCAGCGTGGGATGGAGAAGGGCACACAATACCTTTCTTGTTCTGCTGCATGACCGTGGGAGGTGGAGAAGCTACTTTCATGGCAAGGCCGTAGGCTCCCCGGAAGGAGTGGCTGTCTCGGATGATGAAAGCCCCCGGCTCCCTGTCCTTCAGCAATGCAATGGCTGCAGGAGAGAACAGCAGACCTCAGAGCCAGCATAATGAGAGCCAACATGATCTCCAAAACCAGCAGGCGTGGGTCAGGACAGGGCATCCTGGCTCCATGGCCTTGCAGTAAAACACTGCAAAGTTACTGTCTCCCCTGAACATCTGTGGATGGGGTCTCAAATGGGTTTGTGGCCAGGCAGGGGCTCATGTACCCCCAGGTCCACTGCCCTTGTGTGAGCATCTCAGAGCATCCAATCCCACCCAACCCAGCTCTGAGCAATTGAGCACTGGAGAGCAGGCAGGGACCAGGGACCAAATGCTGGAACCAGGTCCCTGAAGATACCTTATCTCCTCCTTGCTCTCCCCTCCTGTTTTAGCTGTATCTCCAAGACCTATCTGAGCTCACTCAGTTCAAGAGATGAGTGCTCTGCACCCCAAACTGCATAGATGCACTCCATGCTGCAGGGACCAGTGTTCCTCCACCAAGGGGAAGGCTGGGGTGAAAGCCTGAAGCTGAGCTGGACTTCAACCCTCTCTGCAGCAGTCTGAGCATCCATAGTACACCCTCATTCGTCATTCAACCCCTAAGGGAAATCTTTACTAATCTCTGTGATCCCAGATACACCCCAGCTCCTGACCATGGCTCACTCAACCATATGCTTTGCCCTGTGCCATCTACCCACCTTGCTCCCTGGAGATCTCCGGTTTGTACCAGTACTTGGAAGTGTCCTGCACAAACTTGACATTGGCACGAGTCTCAGGGCTGATGTCTGCAAGGAAGGGAAGACAAGAAAAAAGTTAAAAGATGCTTATCTAAAACTCCACATGACTTTTCAGCAGACCTAGCTAAAGCATTAATACCTCTACCTCCTTTCAGCCCCAGCACATTGGTTTAACCTCAACCCAATCCTCCACACCCAGAAAGGCTGACCATCACCTGGAACTTACGGGGACTGCTGCACTTCTAAAGCTAAATCCAAGCACAAGGGCCCTTGAAGGGATGTGCATGTGATGAGTTTGTTTGCCACACAGCCAGAAACAAAATAGGAATTTATCATTTTAAGGGCAACTGGCCAGGTGAAATGAAAGCTGTTGGGAGGAGATTATGTCCAACCAAGAGGGTGGTGGGAAGATCTGGCTTCAGAGGACCTTCACTGCTCTCTAATGTTCAAGATTTGGCTCATCCACCCTAAAAATAAAACCTTCCCTGACCTTTGCTCTGTGCAGAGGAACTGGACAGGTTGACCTACCCTGGGGAAAGCAGTCCCAGCCCCACTCTGCTTCACTCAGTGCCCATCAACAGCCGAGCCCTGACGGGAGCCAGTCCTCAGGCCCTGAAGCTGTTGCATTGCTGGGGCAACATTTCCAATCACCTGCTTGCCAAAAAGCCCAAGCAAAGAACCCACAGGGCCAGACAGTATCTCTGCTGGGGATGTGTTACCAGCCCTCTGCAAGCTGGTCACCTTCAGAGGGAGGGGGGCTCACTCCCCTCCCCAGCCCACTCTCTAATGCTTACAGGTTTTAATTGCTCATGCTTCCCCACTGGGAAAGGTCCCCAGTCATGGGGAGTCATGGGGCTGGGGTGGGTGCCAGCGTGCTCACAAAGGGCTGTCCGCTCAGCAGCGAAACCGGCCCGGCAGCCGGAGCCACTGCTGCCCCACAGCTTTATTCCCCTGATTCTATCAGTCCGATCTTGGCGTCACCAAGGTGTCCCGTAACAGAGCCAGCAAAGGCGTTCCAGGCGCAGTGGCACCCGGGGCACAGCACACCATTTGAAATAAGGAGACAGAGCCACAGTGGGGTCTCAGCAGGGTAAAGCCTGCTGGGAACAGGGCCAAGAGGTCAGCGCATCCCCACGGCAGAGAAAAGCTGCCTCTGGGTGCTTTGATCTCCCTGTACTCAACTCTGGGCGCTGCTTACGGCAGCAATGCCGGGTCAGTGCTTTTCCTGTTTGGATTTGCCATAAAGCACAGGAAATGGCCCAAGCCGGTGCCGCCGGTGTGCAGATGGGCAGGAGGGGTAAATCAGGACGCAGCTGCAACCGCTTCCCCACTGGCCAGTGAGGAGGAGGAGGGAAGAGAGCCCTGGGCTGGGCAGAGGGACACAGGAACCTCCAAAGGCATCCCTTACCTGGCATGGAGAACTTGGAGAAGTCCGGCAGGGTGTGGAAGGTGACGGCACTCCCACCGCTGGGGCTGGACATGCCACTGGAGAGGGGCGAGGATGCCTTGCCATTGACAGTGGCGTAGTTGGGGAGGCTGTTGGAGCGGTCCCCGGCCGACATCCGCCGCTTCTCTGGCAGCGCGGGCTGCGGCGTGGGGCTGCCCTGGTGGTACGCGGCCGAGTCCGGGGAGGAGGAGTGCGGCGTGCTCGTGCCAGGGTAGTACGCCGGCGAGACGGGGAAGGATGGCGTAGAGGGAGGCTGGTAGCCAGAAGAGCTGCTCTGCCGGGAGAGCGTTGGGCGCCTCTCATCTGGGCTGGGGTAGCCATACAAGGGGCTGCCGGGGGGGACAGCTGCGGTTTGATGCCTGGCCAGGCTGGGGCTCCCCGGTGAGACCACCAGGTTGCCATGGGCTGCCACAGCATGTCTGCCCAGCCCGGGGCTGCCAGGAGTGCCACTCATGCCAGGATTGACGGCTCTTCGCCCCAAGCTGGGGCTGGGTGGTGTGTTGGTAGCCACTGTCCGGTGCAGGGAGCGAGGGCTCCCTGGCAGGACATGAACTCCTACCACGTTGACCTGTGGCTGCAGACGAGCTTGGGGGTCTGGCTGGAGGGCAGCTCGGCTGTCGGGGTAGTCAGGGCTGGAGTACGACGAGCCCAGGCCCCCACCTTGGACCATTGCAAAGGAAGATGGAGACGAGTTTTGGTAGCTGCTGTGAGCAGAAGGCATCTGCGAGCTGACAGGTGACCGGTAAACAGGCTCGACCGATGCATGGGGAGGTGTAACTGTGCCATGGGGGCTGCCATCTGAAGGGTAGCTGTGGAGGGAGGTCCTGAGGAGAGATGAGGAGAAGGAGGATTCAGTTCCACTGGTCATTAATGCTGCTGGCTGGCATCCTCCTGTGAGTGGTGCACAAGGAAACTGAGGCACTTTGATAGTGAGCTGCTCAGTTGTTCAGAGGCAATGGTAGGATGGACCCTGCCAGCTGCATGGAGGATCCATCTAAAGCTAGAAGCACCTTGAGTTCCACCATGCATCTCATTTCCCTCTCAAAACACAACTCCCTGGGAGACAGAGCCTTTTTCCAGCTCCTCGCCTAGCAAAACACTCAAATAGTTTCTCCCTGCCAGCCTTTCCAGGCTAGGCTGATGCAGTACACCTCATGGGCAGGGTCAAGAAGGGACAGGGATGGTGGCTCCATCACACCACAGGGGACTGATGCTCAGCCTAACTTAGTGCTAGGGTTAGCAAAGACCTCATCTCTCCTCCTACCCCAGAGGCCAGGTTCCCAGCAAGATGCTGCTGAAATCTATTGACCACCAAGTGATAACCAAGTGGCCCAACTTTGTGTTGCCAGGGCACTGAACCAATGGCTGACCAGGACCCCTAAACCTTACGTGCAGAGACAGAGGTTCTTGCAAAGGCAGTTTCGATGTGGAAGCAATCCTGTGCACCTGGCAGGGTTTGACCCCAGCCAAACAAGCCCCAAGGACCTGCTCCCAGTGCCTTACCCGTCCACACTGTGAATGGGGCTGCTGGTGGAGACAGGACTGGGGGCAGTGAAGGAGTTGTTGAAGGTGCCGTTCCTGGTGGGCACCTCTGGGCCCATGGGCTGGGTGGTGGGCAGGCTCCCTCCCCTGCCTGTCGTGGCTGTGCGGGCCACGGACTCAACGTAGCTCCTGGGCTCTGTGGCAAAAGAGAAGGGGAAACAGATGAGCACACAGCTCTCTTTGGGAGAGGGCCATGCCCTTCCCGGTATCCCCATTTCAGCCAGTAAAGACGCTTGAACTGCACTCCTCCAGCTTCACATTTCCCCCATCCCTCTTCCTACAGGGGCTATGCAGAAACACATGGCTCATCTCAGCCTTTAGGTTGCTCCAAGGGGTGCTTGAAGATCCCAGCCTGAGCACAGGGAGGGGGGTCATTCCCACCCCTTTTCCTGAGGGGACCAGAGCACGTGGGACCACAGTTCCTTCCAGCGCCACAGCCCCTCCACCCTGCTCTTGAGTCAGTGCCCCTCCTTGCCTGGGATGCCACACAGCATACGTTGTGCTCCCTGCTCATCCTCAGCCCCCAAAAATAGAGCCAGTGACACTGCCCAGCCTGCGCTGAGTCACGCGGGACTGATGATGATGACCTGTGGTCCCTGCCCTGTGCGGCCCACCTCTGCCAGCCACCTCCAGCAGCAAACCAGAGAGCAGCTCCAGATATTTCCACTGCAGCATCCAACACAGTCACTCCCAGCCCAGCTTGAAACTGGAGCCCATAAGCACAACCAAGAACAGCAATTTTCCTTTGGAGCTGCCAAGCTGTCCCGTGCCAGGAGCAGTGGGCTATGCTGGCTGTCACCAGCCACAACAGCCGCCAGACCCAGCCTTCCCTCCTCCCTTTCCCCTCTGCCTCCTGCTCCATCTAGGCTGGTCCCCATCCCTACGACAGCCTTTCAGCCCCACCAAAAGCTGTGCTGGAGAAAGGGACTGCAGCTTCAGCCCTGTCCCCTACAGCTGTGTTACACCTCAGCTGGTATATGCCACCCACTGCCTCTGAGCTGGGGCACAATGTCCTAAGCAAGATCCATTGGCATCAAACGCTATGGGCTGGGCATCCTTGCAGGTACCCTGGCTCCAGGCTGGCCATGCTTGAGGCAGTTCTGCTGTAGTAATTAGTATGACAAACATTACTATTATTATCATTATTATTAATATTATTAGTCATAACAGCCAGGCTCTGGCTAAGTCTGCCAGCAAACCAGCCTGCTCACAGCCAGCAATGCCAATGCACAGCTCCATGTTCAATGCCAGACTGGGGGGTGCAAGGAAAAACACAGTCACAGGTCTCCCTCTTTCCCCCACAGCATCTGTGTGCCGTATCCGCCTGCAGAAAGAGGAGGATGAGTCCATCCTTTGGGCTGATCTCCCTGTCCAGCCCTGCTCAACCACCCCAGAAAAGATGTGAGCCAAAAACCAGACCAAGGACCTACAACGTGGGCTGGGTACCAGCATCCAAGGCAGCACACGTGGCTCTGAGTGACAGGGATGAAGCACTGCCCAGGAGGACGCCCAAGGCAGCTGCGAGAAACTCATTGCTGCTTGGGTAATTAAATTAATTTCACAGCTACTCACTTTTCTCCCCTAGCTGCCCACCCCAGACTAAAATTAGCCAGAGAGCACGTATGAGTCAGCCTGCAAGAGGTTAAGACCAAAGGGCTGCGAAAATGCCAGCCCCTCCTGCAAAGGTGGGGGCTGAAGCAAGGCAGGAGATGGGGGCTGAGGGAGGGGGGACAGTATATGTGTGCCGCAGTGAGGTATGTGACCATCAGCACAGGTTGAAGTCGATTGGTTCAATATGGAGAAAAAAAACTGAAGGAAAAAAAAGAGGAAGTTTCAAGGCAGGATTTTTTAGGTTGAAAAACTGATCTTGCTTCCTGGTGGTTTCTTGGAAGAGGCTCCGGAGACGGGAAGACGGTGGGAGAATAGAGAGGCTGTGAGTCACCAGGGAGGTGGGTAGCGGTTTGGGAATGCTGAATCCAAGCCGGGCTGCCACTCAGGCCAGGAATCACCAGCACTGCAACTGCGCAGGGCGGCTGTAAAGCCTCCTCGGAGGTAGCAGCCAGACCCCAAGCTTCTGCACTGCCAGAGCATCCTCCAGCCCCAAGCACAGCCCAGCAATGCAGGCTGGGATCTGCTGAGCAGGGCCTGGCAGGGCAGGGATCCTCTGGGCTCTGTGCCTGGGTGCAGAGGGTGCTAAGTCAAAGCTTTGTTAAGACAAAACGCAGGTTCCCCCTCAGGACTGCAGATTTAACGCCCCCAAAGCCATCATATTATTAGAGGATGAGGCAGAGCAAGAGGCTGGTAGTGGCCACTCAGCCTGCGCAGTATGGGGTCACTGGATATTTTTGCTCTGGATCAACCAACATGCAAGCAGCTGAGCGCCACAGGAAAAGAGAAGAAATGCAGCCTGAGCTCCTGAGGGTTTGGTGAGAAGGAGAGGCGATTATTTGGGTGTTCGGAGGCCTAAAGCTGGACGAAAATGGTAAATCAGGGGGGGGTCTAGGAGGGAAAAGCCTGGTTTTATCACAGCTTTTCATCCTTCAATGCACCCAAAAAGCCATCACTGAAAAATCAGCTCTGGAAGCAGAACATTTTCTTCAAGTAAACACTTCCTTAAATACTATACAACATAAAGGTTTGGGTTATGTGCATTTAGGAACTCCCAAGCAAAAATGCTGACAGCAACCTGAGCCACGAGAAGCACCACAAACTTGCCAAAAAAAGCCATCCCCTCCCCAAAGCCCATATTAAACATACAGTTCCCCATTCTGGCCTCAAAGGCCCAAAGTTCCATTAAAAAAGAAAGCAAACCCCAGCAACTGTCAGACTGCATGTGGCACTCCAGTGAATCACACCCGCTCCCAAAGCCTCTGTCCCCTCCAGGAGAAGTGCCACCCTAGAGCACATGGTGTCTCCTCCATCAGCACAGCCACTCCTGAGCTGACGTCCCACATCAGCCTCATCCTTGGCATCCAGAGGGAGGTGCAGCCCAGGGACAGGCAAGGTGGGGGGAATCTGGGCAGCCTCCCAGCTGCAGGAGGATATGGACTGACCGCCGGCGCTGTGCCGCTGCCCGGGTACTGAGCCGGCAGCAAGCTGGTGGCCTCTGAGCCTGCTGACCTTTTGTGCTGCACTTGGGTTTATTTTCGCTCCAAACAGCAGCAGCAAAGCCAGAAGGGGAGGGCAGGAGCCCAAAACCAGGGTTGGTGCTCCCAGCCCCTGCCAGGCTCATCCAAGGCTGGCCACAACGTGCCAGCATCCCCAGCATGCCACCAAGAAGGATGCCATACACCGACAAAGAGCTCTCAGCCCACATGGATAATTGCCACCCAACATGACAGACCTCCAGGTCCAATTTGGACATCAGAGAATCCAACCATGACACAAGACATGATGTTCCCCTTTTCAAAAGGAAGCAGATGGACAAGACTCGAGCTCCCACATCCCCATGGAACAGTGCAGGGAAGGCTGCTGGCACAGATAGCCAGAGCCTGCTCCGAGCAACAGTCCCAACAGTGAGGTAAGAGGAGAAAAGAGAAAGAAAAGCCTTTCTTACCTTCTCCAGAGTCACCGCCCGCCTCCCCTTCTACCTCTGGGAGATGGAGGGGCAGGGGAGCAATGGGAGTGGGAAGAGGAGGATGAAGGAAGGTATGAGACAGGAAGAAAGAGAAATCAGAGTTAAGCAGCTTTGCCTTGCTCAGGCAGGGGCACACAGAACACAAAGGAGAGCTCCAGACCTCCCCAGCACTGCACCTCAAACCGGACCCCTGGTCTTAGACACACCCAGGGTCCACGTGGGGATTCCAAAGACAATGTCCATAATCCAGAAGGCTGGTTTTGGGTGGGGAAGAGGAGCGACCAAGCAGAGCACCACATGAAGGGCTGCTGCGAGAAGTCCAGCAAGCACCGAGAAAGCATCAGCTCGACCTTGGGGGCAGACCAAAAAGGGTCTGGAATGGGTCTGGCACTGGAATGGGTTGCCCAGGGAGGTTGTGAATGCTCCATCCCTGGCAGTGTTTAAGGCCAGGTTGGACAGAGCCTTGGGTGACATGGTTTAGTGTGAGGTGTCCCTGCCCATGGCAATGGGGTTGGATCTAGGTGATTTTAAGGTCCTTTCCAACCCTAACTATTCTATGATTCTATGATTCTTGCTGGGCGGGCTCAGCCAGGACTCATGCTCCACAAGCTCAGACAGGGTTTGGGGATGTTACACTCAGCCCTGAGAAGGTCCAGGAAGGGGCCCTGGTGCTGGGGAGCAATGAGGTCTGCCTTGACAGGCTGCTCTGGGATGCATCCACAGGACAGCAGGGCCTTTGCACCCAGGGACCGCTCTCCGGAATGGAGAGGGCTCTGGACACTGTTCCAGCTGACAGGTCTGGCTCCTGGAGAGCAAACCTTCTCCAGCTGTGCTGGGGAGGAGGAGGATGGAGGGGGTGAGGGAGGGAAGAATACAAGGCTGGGCAGGAGGCAAGACCTGAGGGTTATCCACCCTCCATCACTAAAGACCCTGCTGGGCTGAGACCCCAGGGCAGCACCAACATCCCCCCACCCTCACACCAGAGTCCCCAGAGGAGGTGACAAAGACTCCAGGGCCATCTGGCCCCAAAAGGGGGTGCAGAAGCGCCTTCTCCAGCCAGGGGACCTTTCCATGGGTATCTTCACAGATACCCCACACCCCCAAACCACATGCACCCCCCCTGCCCACACTCACCTCCCACTGGATGCAGCAGGATCTCAGCCGGGTTGTGGGGTTTCAGCCCCAGTGCTGACAGCGGGGTCTTGGCCAGGCCGGGGGGAGAGCGCACTGTCAGCACGGGGAACACAAGAGCATTAGCAGGGGGGAGGGAGGTAAGGCTTCGGAAAGGCTGGAGCTGCCCAAGGGTTCAGACCCCCCCACCAGCTGCAATGGGGGATTGCTGGGATTGCTGTCCTTGCATAAAGCAATGCCTCAGAGAAGGACATGGATCTCCCTCTCTCCTTAGGAGAGGGCACAGGGCAGGAGGTGCCTGAGAACAAGCAGCCTGCCATTATCACAGGGCTGGCAGGAGAGAAAGGGGGCAATTCCCACCAGGGCAGGCCCAGACCCAATCTCCCAGCACCATCCCCCGAAGGAATGGTCCCACCATGTATAAAGGCACAAAGCCTCTTTCATTGCCCCTGTGCAAGCAGCTATCCCCCTACCCCTTAAACCCACCCCCGCTTATCCCCACATCTGGCTGAGCTGGGACCAGGCTGTCCCAGAGCAACTCGCTACCCCCACAAAAGGGACAGCAGGACTGCCACTCCCGCCCACCCCCACATTCAGGACAGCTCAACGGGCAGGTGAGGATGTTCACATGAGGCATGTTCCCTGAGGGGTGGCAGTGAACACATGAGGTCTGTACCCCTGTCCCCATACATACATACCAGGAGGAGCTGCGTATGTACATATGGCTATGGTATGGATGCACTGTCAGTGCGAGGCAGCAGGGTTTCACGGGGCAGGGCCAACCTCCCCCACCAAATGTGACTCCTCTCCCCACCTTGTCCCATCACCCCAGTGCTCCATGTCCCCACACCAGTGGAGACACCAGGTCTCATCTCCAGCTAGAGGGCACATCCCTCCTGCAGCATTTGAACGCCGCTGACTGACAGCACAGGCATAGTGCCTGCAGCGAGGCCAGGAGGCAATGGGGGGTGGGAGCTCCAAAGGAAAGCCAGACCTGAGCGCAGGTCCCCTCAGCAGCCTGGGACCGGAGCAGCAGAGCAGCCAAGTCCCTGGGAAACCAGACAGCAGCACCTTCCCCAGTGGGTGTCCCACTTCCCCACATCTGGTCAGCCGCAAGCCGCGATGTCAGCTCACACCTCGGTTGGCTGAAGAGTAGCAGGGTCCTCCCAAGGACAGGAATTGTCCTGGGACCATCATCTCCCCACGGATGGGAATCACTTCTGTATCCCCCCAGCAGCACTTTGGCAAAGGCTGCAAGCTGCAGCTTCAAACTTCTGAGGCCTCCCCAGCTGGCGTTGGATGAGAAGCACTGCCTCTGGGCCATGTCCCCAGCCAGGCTGTTCCTCTCACTTCTGCTAGTGAATCATCCCCCAGAACAAGCCACTGTCCCACTGCCAAGGAGCTGCTGCCCCAGGGCCAAGCTCTCTGTCCCCTGGAACAACAGGGCCATTTCCGAGCTGCCAAGCGCCTCAGGGATGCTCCCACACTCCTGACACTGCATCCCATGAGACCAGGCTCAAACATCAGTGGGTTGCACGGGAGGAAGGAACAGAAGCAGCACAGGACAAAACAGCCTTGAGCTCCACAGGCTGAGCTATGGGAGGCACGATGGTCCCATCACGACCTTATGACCAGTACTTGGCATCAGAGGGGGGTGCACTTAGAGCATCCCTCAGCTTTCAGCCCACAGAAATCGGGGGTCGGGAGGACTGCTGCCTTTTTGATGAGTTTCCCAGTTGCCCGGCTGCTCTGTTGCACTGGTCTAGCCCAAGTCCTGCTGTGCTGACTTGAGGCTGCTCATCGGGGTTCACCACTTGAGCCGGTCACACAAACCCGGATCACACAAACCCACCACAGCTGTGCAGTCAGGGTCAGTCAGAAAGCAAGCATGCCGTGCCAGAGGCAGAGACAAGCTGCATGCAGAGGGCTGGCATCTCCCAGACGTTTCCCCCTCCTGCCCTTGGAACAGCGAGCAAGAAGTAGCATAGCATGCAAGGGTCTGTCTGAGCTCCCTCCTGCCTGCCTCCCTCCCAGTCGCATGCTACTGGAGCCTCCCTGCCTCTCTCGCCGTGCCAGTAGGAAAGATTGGGAGGTTCAGGATCAGGATGGGGTGAAAGGATGCTGTCTTTCAGAACCTGCCTCTCTCCTTATCCCACCTTGAGATCCCATCTAAGAAATGCACCAGCGAGTGGAGGGTAGGAAAAAGCTGAAAGGAAAGTACCAAGCATGGGATGCTGATGGCAGTGGGATGCGGATTGCAGTGGGATGCGGATGGCAGTGTGGAGTGGTGGGATGCAGAGGAGAGAAAAGGAGTGATTAACGTGGCAGTGGGTGTCTGGAGCCCGGAGCTGTCTGACCCTTGGCGAATTTCTGGCTTGCCGAGAGCCACCCACCAAGCCCCAGTGCCTCCCGGAGCCGCAGCACTTACAGGGATCAGAGCAAGGGGTTTGTGGTGAGACAGGGAAGGCTGGGGTGGGGGGAGAAATCTCACCGCCGCTGGAGGGTGGGCTGGTGGGGGAGGCACCCTCCATCTCTTCAAAGGCTTCTTTGTAGCTGTGGAGGTGAGGCTGGAGAGAGCAGAAGAAAGGGTCAGTCCCATAGCTATGATGGGCACAAACCTCCAGCAAACCCCGGGGAGGGAGCAGAGGAGGCAAAGGGAAGGTTTCTACTTCCTCCCTGCTAGCCACCACCACAAAAAGCAACACTGTCCCCCAACCCTCCAGGATGCTGCAGATGCTAACCAAGCTTTCTCCCTCCCTGGAGGCACCTGCCCCCCTCATTAGCCACCCCACCACTGCAGCATGCCCCTCACCCCAGCACACCTCTTTGGGCCTCCCTCCAGGGTTGGCTGCGATGGTGCTGACCACCTCAGGCGAGAGGACGGTGGGGCTGCGGGGTGAGCTGGGCTCCGGGGAGCTCTTCTCATAGTGGCTGTCGCTGGGGGTCCGCTTGCGGGCAGGGACCACACTCTCCTCCGGGGGCTTCTCCTGGGACTGTACCCCTGCAGGGCAAGCACAAAGTGGGAGACTGATGAGGAGCTGCTGGCTGAGATGGGGACCAGCAGGAGATGCTCCGGTGCTGCTCTGAGAGGTTTCCCCTGGGCTGTGTGCCCTTACCCAGCAGAGATGGCAGCTTCATCACTCACCTGCATCTAACCCCTGGACCAGCACAGCCAGTTGTGAGTTGAAGCAGATATATCCTACAGTGGTGGCCCAGCACCAAACAATAAGGCAAGGCAGGGTTATGGCTTATGGCTGAATCACTACACTAGCCCTTCCAAGCATCATAAAACGGGCCCAGAGACAACCCCCAGCAGTGGGTGCAAAGGGCATGAGCATCCTGTGAGGAGCCCAGGCAGCCCAGCCACACAGAGCTGGGGAGGACCAGGACCCCTCAATAGCATCACAGTGGCAGAGGAACAAATCCTCCAGCACCAGGGCAGCCACATTCAGCTGCATTGCTGCTCCACACCGCAGGGAAAAACACCCAATTTTGTGAGTCCTCAAGGCAGAGCGAGGATTGGGTCAGCACGAAAGACTCCAACATAGGGATGCTGTAGGGAAACCCAACAAATCGCTGCTGATCTACTACCAGCACAAAGTCTTCGTAAAAAGGGAGACCAAAATCTCCTCTCCATCTCCCCCTAGATCTCCTTTCCAGACCCCAGTGCCAAGAGCCACCGGTGCCCATAGCCTTGGGGGGGGGGGGGAAGAAAGGAATAAGTCACTGCAGGAAAATGGATTTCTTCAGGCTGTCAGGGTCTAATACATCCCACTGGTGATCCCCGTGGGCTGGGACAAAGCCCAGGAATGGGGACAAAAGTGGCACAGGGCAGGGGGGGCATGAGGAGTTGGGATAAGGGGTGCAACCCCAACTTTCCCAGCACCCAGCAAGCAGTGAAACACACTCTCCACCCCATCTTGCCTAATGAAGAGGTTAATTAGGGCTCACGGACAATGGTGCTGGGTTCGGTGCAGGGGAACTGTGCAGAACATCACAGGCACAGCAGGAGCCCACTTCTCCCTGGGACCCCCCTAGCAGCGGGGTGAGCCCTGGTGTCAGCCCCATCAGCAGAAAGGCAGCGCTGTTGGCTCCACCTTTCCCACGGAGCAAGGGAGCGCTCACACAAAAAAAGGAGCGAGAGGCCAGCATCACGCTCCAGGAAATGCACTTTTCAAACACCAACTCCTTTCCCACGGGGTGGTGGAGGAAAACCAGCCATCAGCTGCTTCCCCTCGCTCCCTGGTGGGACCCACGCCTTGCTCCCGCTGACCTCCCCTCTTCACCGCCCCGCTCCGGCACCCTGCACTGGGGCTCTGCTGGCCCCAGGGAAAAGGCTCGGAGCGGGTGAAGGGCTGGGAGCAGGACAGGGAGGGAGGTGTCCTGGGTGCGTTTCTAAAGAATCAGCCCAGTGAACGGCGGCAACAATAAACCCGTGGCTCTGGGGGGAGAGGCGGCCAGGCTGCGAGGCAGGGGACCTGAGCCAACGGGGCCGGCTCCAGTCGCGGAGGCGGCCTGGAAAATTCCACTAAGAGCAGCTTTGAAACACAACTCCCGATCCCTTCTGCAGGTGTTGGCGGGCACAGGGGATGGACAATAAAAAAGCCCGTGGAGGGGACAGGGGGATGGAGAAGGTCCCTGGGAAGCCACCCTGCAGGCATGGCCAGCATCGCACAGAGCCACCCTGTATCTTTTGCCCTGATCTTTGCTTTAAGGCAATGAAGCCCAGAGTTGTGAGCACAGGGAAGAACAAAATGTTTGGGAAAATAAAGCAAACTCTTTATTTTCTTTTTGTCCTACCACTTTCTGCACTATGGGGTATCCTGCACACTGCAGGAGCATCACCAGAAGCATCCCTTGGCCCATCCCAAAGTGAGCTGCAGGGACCAAGCACTGCAGAGAGGCAGGGTCTGACTCCTCAAGCCGTGCACCCCTGCCGTGTTTTGCATTTTCCATTTGGGAAGCACAAACAGCAGCTTGTCAGAGCCCAGCTTTCAGTGCACATCACACATCTGCAGCGTGAGATCCCCTGCTCCATCCCTGGGGCCGCGCATCACCCAGCTGCAGTGGGCTGCATGTGGCCCACTGGGACACCCAGGAGCTCACCGGCTTTTGGCTGCTCCACTCCCCAGACATGGAAAGCAACCAGGGCTGAAGGGAGGGGAGGGAGGAGAGGGGGAAAAAAGGGACTCATTGTTCAGAAGCAGAGAGTGGGAAATTTCATGGGCCGCCTAGAGCAAAGCCTGGAGGAAACCCAGGCTCTAAGCATGGCTCCCCCAGCCCCCTGGGTAATTTATGGGCTGGAAACTACGCTTGGAAAACAAACTCTCCTTTCCCCTGCTCAGTGTGCCCCCTCAACAGAGGCACAGCCTCACTTAGCCATGGCACCACCACCAGCTCCCCAAGGATGCCCTCCCTGGCTGTGGAGGAGGGGTTGCTTGCCATCCAAAGGGGGAACAGCAGCCTTCACCCCGCCCCTTACCCTCACCCCCTCTGGCACTTCCACTCCTTCTGCTGCCCATTTAGCTCTGTAACCTAGCAGCAATCCTCCCCCAGCAAGGTCCTGCCCTTGGACTCAGCACAGCTCTAGGGCTGGGGAAGGGCAGGAGCACAACAGCAGGGGAGGAGGAAACAGGAGGGTAGTTTTGTGGCTGGGGATCCAGATTTCTAGGCAAAATCAGGAGGCAGATGCTTTTTGGACATGAGATGCTGGAGCTACTGCCATGCAAGAGCTGGGTGATACCCCCACAGTGCAGAAGAGAGGGCAAACCAGCATTCCATGGCCCTTGGGACGTAGCACCCAGCACTTCAAGCCAGACAGGGACACTTGATGCCCAGGAAAATGAGAGGTAACAATTAGCTCCCTGCCTTCATGAGGAACAGCAGCAGCCATTGCCCTGTACCTCTCTCCATTGCCTTGTACCACTCCACACCAGAGCCGAACTAGACCTGTCCCACTGGGCACAGACACTTCTACTGCCCTACACTTCCCAAACTGATGACCACAAACAGGCATGACAAAATACCTTACCCTGTTCTGAGGGCTGGGAGGGCTCAAACCTCTTTGGTCTTCCTGAGGACAAACCCAAGGTGCCAGTGGGGAGAGAAAGGTCACCCAGAAAGCTGGTGACGCCCCAGCCCCCTCTTTCCCAAGAGCCCCTCTCCATCTCCCTCCTTCTGCTCACCTTGGGACAAGTGGGTGCAAACCAAGCACCCAGCGGGTCCCCAGCACCCACCACTCAGGGCAGACTCATCTCAAAGGAGCAGAAGTCCAGGGGCCTGTGGAGCTGTACCCCAGCCCTGGGCTCACTGAGAGGTGAGCTACAGCCAGGGCAAAGCTTGGCAGGGCTGGAACAAGGGTCTGCATCTGGCCCAGGAGTAGAACCCCACCAGAGAGCAATGCCAGGTTTGGATGAGATGCAAAACTAAGTGTGGTGGGCAGGGGAGGCTGTACCCAGGGCCAGGGGCTTCTCCATCACTGTGAAGGCTGAGGGGAACCCTGAGCATCACTCTGCTGAGAAAGGGAATCAATCCTGGATATCAATATAATCCTAACCCTAACTAACCCTAACCCTAGTTAGATCTGGGGAATGGTCTCCCAAACCTCCCTCCATCACACATCCATGCAACACACAGAGCACTCAGCATGCAGGGATGCGGAGGAAGGAGAAAGAAAGAAGGGAAAAGGAAGGATGGGAAGGAAGAATGGAGGACAGGGGAAAAGAAGGGTGGATAGGGAAGGTTCAAGGACAAAGAAGGAGGGAAGTGGAATGAACAAACCAGAGAAGGACCGTTGCTTGTTCAGAGGAGGACGGGGGACTTTGGTGCTCTTGTTGAGGTTCCTGAGCCTGGCGTTGTACTCTGCCAGTGTACCAGGACAGGGAGTGCAAGGAGGTGGGAGGTCACAGGGGACAGACACAGTCACCCATGGGGAGAAGGAGGGGGCAGACAGGACAAATGTCACGAGATACAATAGGGACACAGAGAGAGAGAAAACAAGAGAAAATATTAGTTGGGCTCCAACACATGAGCCTGGGGCTGCCTGGTGTCAAGGGAGCTCAGACCCTGCTTGGAGCTGCTTTCCCATCACCTAAATCACCTGGCTCCAGGCACCACCACTCAAACCCACATGGGAAATCAATGGTGGCTCCCAACCACACATAGCCTTGTGTTGTGCAATGCCACAAATGCCATCACCGTCCCCTTGGGGATAGCACCATATCCAAGCCCCTCCATCATGGGACAAGAAGGGATGACCCCAAATGCCCATCTTGGAGATGCGGGGACTTGAAGGACAGCAGGGCCAGCTCCTCTCTGTGGGAAGGCACTGGGACACAAGCACTGAGCTGTCCCATCTCTTCCTCTCCATCACCAGCAGAGGTAAGAATGGGAGCACTGCCCTGCCAGGCACAGAGGGAGGTGCGAGGTGCTCCTCGTTGCTGCACCAGGACACACAGGCAATTTATAGCAACGGAGAATGTAAACAAGCCCGTCCATACCCCACCATCCATCCCATGGTCTGTCCCCTCCCAGCCTGGCCTCAGGACACGTTGTTCCTGGCAGAGGTCAGCCCACCCGCGCTGTCCCAGCTCCAGAGGGGACAGGTGGCTGCAGGCTGGGGACAGTCCCCAGGATGCCTCTCCTCCCGACAACACAGCGGCTGCAGGGGTTGAGTGACCCCAGCCATGAGGACCTGACCCCAGGGCTGGGGGGGGGGGATTATTTGACAGGCACCATCTAACCCCCATTTCCTACCCATTTCAAACGTACTCCTCCTCTCCTGAGGATCCTCCTCTTTTCCACGCATTTTTCCCCTCCATATTTGGGGGAGGAATCTGCTCCTTGTAATATTCAGTCCAGACACACAGCGTGATTTGGGCATCTGTATGTCCTCAGGTTTATTTAAACCCTCCGCACAGGCCCTGGGACCCTCTGTGGATCTGGCCTGGACCACTGATGGATGCAAACTTCCTCTAACACCTCTGCTCCCCTCCGCATGGCTGGCACCCCTCCTGCCCCCTGCCTCAGTGCCGCAGTGACTCAGCCCCACGCCTGGGAGGTTGGCGCTGTTGGATTTTTTCCAGCCGAGGCTCTTCCCCCTCCTTCTAATGCCAGGCGAGCTTCTGGGCTGAGCACAGAGCTGAAAGGGACTGAGCTGCCAAGCCCCAGCATCACGAGCTGGCCCCCAGCCCCAGACCGTCCCAAATGTCACTCCAGAATTCAACAACTGCAGCCGAAGCAGCAAGGAAGAAGGGCACGGAGCTGCCACAAGGTCCTTTGCGTCCCAAAGCCCCTGAGCCAGAGCTGAAGGATGAAATCGAAGGACGTGGTTTCCCCTCCGCAGCACGGAGCAAACGCCTTCATTCAGCCACGGCGCTGACGCTCGGCACTGCACTCAGCCAAGCACTGCACCAAACCCTGCTGGTACGGCTCGGAAATGCCTTTCCAGCCCCTGACCACCGCCTCAAGGCCAAGCCCAGCTTCAAACAACCCCGGACCAAGCTGGCTGGGCCGCTGGGGCAGAAATGCTGCTGCCAGCCCATAGCCTGGCCCCCATTCCAGCAGTACCCTGGCTGCTCAGGGAGGAGGGCCATGCACCCAACCCAGCAATCCACAGGGAAAGCCAGGGCTGAAATTGGGTAGGAACCCAGCTATGTTAAACACAAGGCAAGTGCTCTGCTGGGACCCCACACCGGAGCACCCTGCAGGCAGAGTGTCCATCCTGTCCAAAGTGGGGTCCAGGTAGGGAACCCTCAGCCAGAACTGAAAACATCTTCCCAAACTTGGCCACATTCTCCCCAAAACAAAAACTTCCCCCCAGGACCCAGCAAGCGGCCAAGCTCCAGGGGACAGACCAGCCTGCACCTCAAAGGGTGAGGATGGGGAGCCCGACCACCATGGCCACTCCCTCTCCCCACCCCAAAGGGTGATGCTTCTGCAGATGGCAAGTTGCAAGTGGGGGGAGTCTTGACAATGGAGAGCAGCATAGGCTGGCCCCCTGCCCAGCGTGCCTCTGCAATGGATCACTCAGTCCCAAGCCCAGACCCGGCATGAACAAGGAGTCGCCGCATCTCCCATCCCAGCTCCACCGCGCATGCCACCCCCACGGGTTCCAGCTTCTCAGGACACGCAGTCACCCCTGTCCCCCCAAGGAATCAAAGCATCCTACCTGCCACCCTGTGGGCCACCAGGCCCTCCAGATTCAAGGGTTCTTCTCCCGACCTCGACAGGTCTTCATAGCTCTCTGGTCCCTTGAGGGGCATCTGGGTTTGTGCTGGGACGGTGGGGGAAGGCGGGGAGGAGACGAGGAGCTGCTGAGACCCCACGGGGCTGTAGGAAGTGCTGAGCGGGAGGATGCCCATGGGTGGTCCGGCTGGGGCATGACTGTAGCTCCTCGGCTCCGGCACTGGTGCCGGCTGGTAGTTGTAAGGCGAATAGGCCTCCCGGTACTCATGCACCCCATAGTCCAATTCCCCTGGAGGATAGGCTTTAACCCCAGGCTCGGACACCACGGGGCTCACAGAGGTGCCGAAGGACCTTGGCTGGGCCACCTGTGCAGCCGGCCGGGCATAGAGAGTGGCACTGGGCTGTGCCAGATGGGAGGAGCGCAGGGGTCCCGCCGCCGGCTTGTCCTGGCGGGAGGCAGCAGGCACACTCTGAGACTTGTGGACGGCAGGCGCGAGGTCCAGCATGAGGATGTCGAGGGCTTCGATGGACTGCTCAATCTCCCGGCGGGAGGGCGCCCGGGGGAATTCGGGCATGCTGTGGCTGTGCGGGGGCACCAGCTGCAGTGGGCTGGGCTGGGGGCTGCAGCTGGACACGCTGGGGCTGTGGCTCTCCATGCCACCCTCCTGCAGCCGGGAAGGTGGCCGGCTCCCTCCTTGCTGCTGCCAGGAATTCAAGCCCCTCTGCACGGCTTCCCGGCTGCTGGTGCTGCGAGCCGGGGCCTGGGGCAGTGCTGGGGTTGTGCCATACTTGATCGTGTCCACCGCCGGGAAGGATCGGGAGCGATAGGTGCCAGGGGGGTCGTAGCTGTACAGGTAGGGCTGGGATACAGGCAGTGCATGGGGTTGGTGCCAGCCCGGGGCATGGGAGCCCTGTGGGCGCTGTGGGTAGCCAGCCAGGTGCTCCTGGGCGGATGCTGAGGACTGCAAGGGGGGCAGTGGGTCACGAATGTGGTGGCCCATGAGGGCATTCTGGTTGTTGTAGGAGTAGCCACCGTTGGAAAGCGGCTCACCATCATACAGCCCATCCTTCAGCAGCTTCTCAGCCCCGTTGCAGCTTGTGGGGCCATTGGGTAGGGAGGAGACGCTGCCCACCCGGGGTGCCTCTTGGTAGCCAGCCTCACTGGCGATGGTGGTGCCATCCAAGGAGGAAAGAGTGCCCAGGCTGCCCACACTGTGCCCATCCTGGTTGGGTAGCTCATCATCCAAGATATCTGTTTCCCGCTCAGCCACCAGCACCGCAGCATTCCCGTTGACATGCACCTGAGCTGGCACCACATGGCGGCCCGGCATGGTGGGCAGGCGCGCTGGTACGGGGCCAGGCACGTGGTTGTGCATGGGCAGAGCGCTCTCCAAGCCAAAGCCGACAAGGAGACGATCCAGCTCCCGCTTCTCCTCAGGGCTCAGCACCGCCTGGCCACCGGGCACCGCAGGCACCGCCGGCTCATCGGTCCGGTCGGTCTTGGTGGAGGCGGTGGAGTTGCCCGAATCGCTGCTCACCGAGAGGGTGTGCTCGACGTGGTTGGGTGCTGCCGAGAGCAGGAGGCGGGCGGCGTTGACGGCACCAGTGCTGCCGTGCAGGGAATCTTTCTTCTTCACTTTAGCGTAGAGGCTCCCGTCCAGGGGCCCTTGCGTGTGCCCAACCTCTGCAAGGGGAGAAATGAACACGAGACCCCAGATCAATTCCTGGCTCTCTGCACGGAGCTAATGGGTCCCATTAGCCGGTCGTTTCGATCTCTTCCGTGCTGCCAAACGCGTAACGACGAGCATCACCGTCTCCTCGGCACACTCCGCAATCCCACGGGCGCCATCATGCAGAGACACCGGAGCCAGACCCCCCCATCCCCATGCCCCCGCTCCGCATGCTGTCCTGCCCTGCCCTGCAAGCACCGCCTGCCCCGCTGAGATTCACCACATATCCCCCCCTGGTTCCAGGTATCATGCCTAGCAAATCCTCCCCGTGGCTGGAGAGGGCCAGGGCTGCCCATACAGGCTGCCATCACTGTTCCACAGGGCTCAGCTGGCTCCAAAGGGCCACACGGCGCTAGGGAGATGAACAGAGAGGGTGTGGGAGATGCATCTCGGGCCGTAGGAGAACGGGTGGAGGAGGTCAGGATCTGGCCTCGCAGCTCTGTGTGTCTCCAGCTGGATGATGTACGCAGCCCACGGGTGAAGGACACATGAACCACAGACCCACGTTCCCCCTCCCTGCCCGCTCTCCTCCCAGATGATGCACGGATCCAGACAGCTGCCCATCCTTGACATTTTCTTCCTTGGCTACAGGCAGGCTCCCACCCTTTCTGTCTTTCCCTCTCTCAGGATGGGTGGATCTGCCCCAGACCTTTCCTCAAGCTGGAGGCTGCCCCAAAGCTCCTACACAGGCAGTGCCTTTGACCAACCCTGAACAGGAAGCATCTGTTCTCTGGGGAGGCACTGAACACCTCAGCACTGTGATTTAAGACCAGTGCAAGCAGCCAGCTCCACTCTGCAGCCCCAAATGGCTGGGGGGGCAGCCAGGGCACAGAAGCATCACCACCAGCAACACTGCACCCCAGGTCTGTGCTCCCCAACTCCCACCACCCACAGCAGCCCCCAACACCACAACCAGCTGTGCCCTTTAACCCTTTCTGGATGGGGCAGCCAGATTCTGGGGGCACAGAGGGACCCGAGCCACTGAGATAGCAATGGGGGCAGCCCCCCAAGCTGCGTCCCCCCCCCAGCCAGAGCATGCACGGCACCAGCCCGGCTGCAGACTCTTGTTTTTCCAGCTCCCTGCCGAGGTTTCCTGGAAGGTCCCGCGAGCAGTGTTAAACACTTTCTTTTGGAGGAAAAAATGACTCTTCCCTGGCGGGGGGCCAGGCAGCTGACTCAGGAGCAGAAGATGGCCCTAGCACGATAGTGTGAAATCAGAGCGCTCCTATCTGCAAGCAAAACACTTCCGAAAGCCAGCCCGGAGCCGGGACGGCTTAACCAGTCCCACGCCACTACACCTGCGCCCCAGCAGCTCCTGCACCACCCAACTGTAAAGCAGAGGGGGGCAAAAACACCCAGCGTGAGTCCTCCCAAGTCAGGGCCCCTCCTTGCTGCTGATTTCCACTCCCAAATCCCTGCCAACAGCATCCCATGGAGGCAGCCAAGTCCCAGAGCTGCCCTTCTTGGATTGAAGATACCCCAGGACCATGCTGCAAGGTCCTTTCTGAGTACTCTGCGTGGGAAAAGATGAGGTTTCCACAGGTGAGGTTCCACAGTTTTTCCCAGAGACTCAGAGCTCCTTCATGCAGTCAGTCTAGCCAGGAACCAGCAGCATTTGACTCTGCAACATCTATCATACTGGGGGAAAAGGGAATAGAGGGAGAAAATCCCTTCCCGTGGAAAGAGAAAGGAAAAAGCAGCATGTTCAAAGGCAGCAACAATGCTGTAGAGGCTGAGACATCACTGGGAGCCAGGGAAAAGGCCTAGCCTTCCTGTGTGATGGCAGCAATGGGTGCTGGCCAGTCCAAGGAAACAGGGAAGGAGCCAGGCTGGGGGCTGGGATAAATAGGGCAGGGGAATAGAAAGGAAAAGGGAATAAATAAATATAAATGAAAGCACATGGCACCAAGGGAGAAAATAGATGGAAAAGGCTTCAATTAGACTGTGGGCTGGGCACCACTCATGACTAGGAGAAATGTCTCAAAGTGGGGTCACGATGGGGTGCAAAGCAGTTCACAGCAGCACCAAAAAGCCCTGAGCGCCCTGTCCCACCTTCCCTGGACCCTCCAGCACCACAGGGACATGGGGCCTGGTGGCACCACCCCAAGAGCAGTGCTAGAGCAGCAAGAAGATGAAGGGGCCATCACACCTCTACCATCAGCCAAGCCCTTGTCCCAAAGCTGCTCTGCTCCACACCCGATTGCCCACTCTGCCCTCAGTCCCATGCACACCATGGTCTATTCCCTGCCATTCCCCACCACTCCCAAGCCCCCTCCACCAACCCTGGGCCATGCTATCACTTGTATGACCATCTATTGCTTGCCACCTGAGAAGCTGAATAAAATTCCCCAAAAACGACCAAGGAAAGGGGGAACAGGCTGCCTTAGCCAAAGCAGCCATACCCAAAGCAGCAGCTCCCAGCAAGGTCAGATTCCATCCCTGAAGGTCAGAGCAGCTCCAGCCTGGCAGTCTGTGCCATCCCAGCGTGGGCTGTGTTTGCCCAGGCAGGTCTCAGCCCTGGACACACAGCTCTGCTCCGGCTATATGGACGTGGCTGGGGAAGCGGTGAGCCCAGTCTGGTCCTACCCCTGCTGCCAGGTTTGCTGCCCTGTCTCGCCAATGCTCTGCCCTCTCCTTCCCCAGCACCCTGCAGCTATGATCAGGAAAAAAACTGGTCCAGGGCACACATGACAACAGAAAGGGGGGGTCAGCTCACATCCCCAAAATCCCAGCCACCTGCCTCATGCCTAATGGGGTGCACTATACAGCATCATGCATCAGCACAAATGCTCTGCAGAGTGCAGAGGATAAGGATGAGGCACTACTGCATCTCCCCTGGTCCCCAACAGCATCCCACCTGCTGCCTCCACTGCCCACCACCCAGAGCCGGGCCTCGGGGCATCCCTGGAGCACCAGCTGGCAGGGAAGATCCTGGGGTCCCAGGACCCTTTGTAGAATGAAGGATGCAAGCAGAGTCCTATGGTGAAGAGCTCAACCCCCACAGCTCTGGTTTCATCCTGTGCCCAATTATGATAGCAAGAAGTAACCCCTGAGCTGTGTGTCATCAGGACCATGAATCACCCACCCACCCCCAGACCCTTCTCCCATCCCATCCAGCTCAAAGAAAAGCAAAGTCAGGACTTACCAAAGGGAACGGGAAAGAAAAGATCCCAGGCGAAGAGAAGGAGCAGGCAGCAAAATCGCTTTCCTTTGCCCCTTCCAGCACCAGAGCCTTCCAGGGGCACCTGGCACAGTGGCAGCTCCAATGGTGTCCACAGCCAGCCCCGCGTGTCCGTCCGGGACAGGAGCCGACAGCCCAGAGCTGGCTTTGGCTGTCGTTTGTCCCTCTGGCTTTGCTTTCCCTCTCACAGAGGGAGATACTCCCTTCCCAGCGCCGTGCCCTGCGGGGCCAGCAAGAGGGGCACCCTGACGGCAGCAGAGTGCCCAAGGGGCTCAGATACAGGGTACCCCGAGGACACGGAGCACCCCCAGGACACAGGGTGCCAGAGGGGAGGATGGAGGAGAGGAAGGCGGCAGAGGCAGGAGATGGGCTGGAGGCAAGAGGCTCCGATGTGCTCCCCTCTGCCCAGACCACACAGGGACGAGAGGGAGGAGAAGGGGAGAGGTGCTGGGGAAGGCAATGGGGCCGCCCAAGCCTCAGCCCCAGCCCTGCTTAACCCCAGCGAGGTGCGGGGAGGGCGAGAGCCAGGGAGGGAGGACAGCCAGACAGACAGCTCCTGGTTATGAATATTAACTACTTCCTCCACAGGCAGGGCTGTGCCACGTTAACTGTTTCCTAGGCAGAATGGACAGACAGCTGGACAGCCGAACCACCCCTCACGGGGTGTGGGGCATCACCCCGATTGACAGCCCCCCCAGTCTGAGACCCCAGCCCTGCCTGGCTCTTGTGTGCACACATCACACTTGTCCCCAGAATGCAGCGATACATTCACATAGTGGGGATGTCCTTTCAGGCCACAAGTGATGCTGTAACCCAGCCAGGTCTGCAGATCCAGACGTGTTGCTGGAGACTTAAGTTTCTCTATCTTAAATAAATTCCACAGGAGTGCCTTCTGTGTTCAAGTCACTGACCCCACCAGTGCCAGACCCAACCCACATTCACAACTCCCTTTCCCTGCCCCACCAGTGGCACAGCACAAGGTGGACACACCGTCACTGGTTTTAGGATGGCATGTGCCACCTTGTCCCGTGGCAGGAAGCACAGCACAGATCCCATCCATCCAGGAGCCACCTGCAACCATACTGCTCCATCCCAGGCAAAATCCATGCTGGAATGGTGCTGACCATTTGCTGGTCCAGGCAACAGTCAGCCTACCCCGTGTTCGGGCTCCTGCTTGAACCCATGCTCATGCTTTCGCTCCTCGATTGATCCAACACACTCAGCAAACCGTGAGGCTCCCTCCACTCTAATCCCCCAAATCATGTTTCCCACACCCCCATGGATGACAGCAGGGGATGAGAGCACTGTTTCCACCCGGCCCCTGACTCACAGCCCCATTTGCTCCCAGAGAGCAGCACACACCAAGTCAGCGTCCTCCCAAAACCTCAGAGGTTTGCTTGCTTCTCTGCCTTTTTAGGTTCTGCCCTGGTTGTGCAATGGGAAGGCAGGTCGAGAGCTCCCCGCTGTCCCCACTGGGACAGCACCAGCGCCATGCACACACTCTCCTGCACGTATGACTTCAAGAATGGTTTAAAGGGGAAGAAGAAGGGGCTGAGCTTCCACCAGCCCGTCCCTCTCTCCCTGAATCCCAGCCCTGCCTGGTTCCCAGTCCCAGCGGGACCAAACCCCATCACACCTCTGCCCCACATCACCACCCCAAATACCAGGTCAGAGGACAGCCCTTCTGCTGCCACAGTGGGAACAGCCGTGCTCCAGCCGAAATGTCCAGCCAAGCCCGCGGAGGCTCCAGCTTTTCTCCCATGGGGACTAACCAGAAGCAAGGGAGAGACACTCCCTGTGGATCCCCATCCAGCCCAGCTGGTCCCTGCTGTCCCCCTGAATGCCCTCCCCGCCAAGCCCTTACCTTTCCGCGGCCGGAGCAGAGAGCGGCGGAGAGGGGCGGGATGGGGAGGGGGAAGCGGATTCCTTCAGCTTTAGTCAGCTGGCGAAGGAAAGCGCAGAGCCAGGGCTCCCCTCCCCACCGAGCCCGGCCAGGGGACGGATCCAGCCGCGGGGGGAGAGCGGCAGCCCGCCGGCAGCTCCTGCGATGGATTTAACAGCTCCAGCCTGGCCCGTTTGCCTCCCGCCTCTGCACAACCCGGCTCGCCCTCCTGCACAGCCTCAGCCCCAGAGAAGTGGGGCAGGATTTGACTCCACTGTGGAAATGTACCCGGTGGGGGACCCACCCTGCTGGGGGACCGGTGGATGACAGCGACCCCACCTCGGGACTTGCTGCTGCAAGTAACGGTGCAGGATCGGCATCCAGCTCAGAATTGGGGACCCCTGGCCTTTGCACACGGGGTTCAGGCTCTGCTGAGCTCCCATCCCCGGAGGGGTGGGATGCTCATCCCACTCCCCACCCCGCCAGCCCAGACCTGAGCTGCAGCGGAGCCCCGCCAGGACCATGACTCGGATGGGGATTTAGCAAGTCTCCTGCAGATGTTGGATTTGGCCAGACCATGGTCACCCCCCTTCCACCCCAGTAAAAATGGAGGGCGGGCAGGGATAGCCTGTGGTAGGGATCGGGATGGTACAGAGGTGAATGGGGGTATGCTGGGTACAGCAGGAGCAGCCAGGGTGGGTCCAAAGGCCACTCATTATTACAGGGAGCTGCTGGGCTGGGGACACACACTCAGCCCTTTCACATTGTCTCAACCAGCCCAGTATGGTGTCCTGGTGTCCCCCCACCACAGTCACACATACAGACCCTGGGGACAACCCCTCCACCAGCTCTGTGCCAGCTCCAACATCCCGCTCTCCATCAGCATAGGTTTTCCCAACAAATTCAAACCAGGCCATAGATGATCCCTATCCAGACTTGCACACTTGCCACTGCAGGACCCCAAAACTTTCTCTGCGGTGATCCTCCAACCAGTCACAAACCCAGAAGTGCCACATCCAGCCACAGGTCTCCTCCTGCCTTCCTGGAGCCAGCCTAGCCCCCAGGGAGAGCTACCTTGGTGCTGGCAAAGCATCCCGCACCATCCACCCGCAATAAAGGACGCCTGTACCCCAAAGACAGCCAAAGGAAGAAACGCCCCATGAGCACCCTTCAGCGTACGAGCACACTCTGAGCCAACCAATGCCTATGCTTTGGCAGCAGGAACCAAGTACCAACCCCAAAGCCCCTTCAAGGAGGAGGTGGAGAAGAAGGAGGAAGAAGAGGGAAGGTTGGCAGAGCCACCTGCCTCCCCTGTGCTGCATGGAGATGGATGATGGGCAGTGCGGTGGGGATATCCCAGCACACACCACAGTCACTAAGGACCACAGGGCAGCCCAAGCACAGCCAGCAGCAGGGACCCTGCCTGGGTCACGCAGGAGGGTGAGCTCGCTGAGGAGGGCAGCTTGTGCCATAGCGGGGGGGTTGCAGAGCAGCCCCTGCCTGCTGAACCTAGCTGAGTCCCCTCAGCCAGAGGGTGAGATGTGGGGGTTCAGATCCCGCTCTCAAGCCCCCTGCCCTGGGCAAGCTTGGTCAGCCAGCGACCCTGCTACAACTCAGCTTCCCCTTCTCCAAGCTCCCATAGATAAGCACAGCGGAGGCAAGGGGAACACCAGGATAGGCACCACCCCAAACATCTCTCCAGCTTCAGGGTTCCTTCGTGTCATCCCACTCTGCCAGGCACCCCTCAGCCCATACGGGTGCCCTACGTTAAGAACAAGCTGCCAGAGCAAGGGCATCCACCTCCTCTGAGAGCGGCTGTGTCCGGCAGAGACGCGGCCCTGGGAGGACCCACCGTTTGGCAGGCGATGACGATCCCGATCCCTTCGGCCCGGGGTGCGGCACCGGTCTGCGGGAAGCCTTCACCGAGCGCCGGGGACAGGCAGTGGCAGGGACGAGCAGCAGCGGCTGATTCCACCCCGGCGCGGATCCCGGTGCCAGCCTCACCCCCCCTCTGCTCCCGGCCGCTGCTCGCTCGCGCCTGGTGGTGCCAAAGAATGTGGCGTGCAATTCCCTGACCAAATAAGGTGAGAACAACCATAAACAGGGACCCCCTCGTGCAGCCGGGCACCGCGTCCCTGTGCCAGCCCAGAGAAGAGGACAAGTGCTGAAACAGAGGGAGGACGATGGCAGACCCCTGCAAGCCCACGGTTGCTCTCCTCACCACTGCTTGAGGTGCCCCATGGGGCGGCTGCGGTGACCCCCTAGAGATGCGTTGTCTCACTGCTGCCTGTGCTGGCACAGGTCAGGGGCAGCCTCCTGCCTGCAGCTTCACCCTCCAGCAGACCTGGCTCATTCCCAAACAGGGGCAGTGTTTGCAACTCCAAGGTGCCCTCATTCCCCATTGCTACCCTCCCTGTGGGTATTGGCACATAGAGGGACCTCTGCAGCTCAAACACTTCCTGAGGTCCCAGCGAGGGAATGGAGAGGAGCCCTGGGGTTCCTCTGCAGCCCCGTGAAGGGCTGGGAGTGCAGCAGCTCTGCCCTGGGGATGAGAAGGGAACCACATGCACCAAGGCTGAGGGCAGGGGCAGAGCTGCAGTGTGAGCTCATGGTGGGGACACACAACCCTTCCCCTCGGGGCCAGACCCACAGCTCCACAGCTCCCCGCTGCATAGCTGAGCCCGCGTGTCACGAGTTGCCTGTTTACTGCCCTGTGCCAAGGAACTGCCCGTGCCTGCTCCACACAGCCAGCCCCACGTCCCCACGATGGGCAGAGGCGCCCTTGCCAGCCCCATGTCCCCAGCAAGTCCAGCCGCCTACAGCTCCCACTTGGAGCAGCTGGTGACCTTCAGGGACAACGGGGGCCCACAGCTGTCCCCACTCCAGGGGAGCCTATCCGGACCAGGCCAGAAAACCTCAGGCATCTGCTTGGCCACAGGTGGACTCACTGCCAGGGCAGGGGCCCACCACCCACCACATGCAAGTACTGCCTGCTCCTGAATGCAGGCAAGGGTGGCCTCGCTGCATCCCAGTGGGTGCTCAAGGAGCTTTTACCAGCTCTGGGCAATGGTGCAGACCCTCCAGGGCCACTGAGACCTCCTCATCTAACACAGTGGAAACTGAGGTATAGCTACATCCCGCCATGCTTGTGCCATGAGGAAGGAGCTTGGAGACCTAACGGGCCCCCCATTAGGTCCCACTCCTGACAGACTTAGGATTTGGGTTTCTAAAGCTCTGGGGCATCAACTGAGGCTGAAGCCTGCTCTGTGCAAACAGGGCTTTGAGAGCAAAAGTGCTGAAACAAACAAGCCTGAGCTCCCTGGCACCACAGCAGGAGGGAAAGTCCAAGAGATCCTCCTCTCCCATCTCATGGCCATGCTCCTCCCAGCAGTGGCCGCCTGCCCCAGCTCTGCTGCCCACCAGCATCCCCTGCCCTGGGACAGGGGGATTCCCGTGGGCACACTTTGGTCACCAACCGCCCGTGAGCCCTGACCTTTCTCCAGGTGCTTGCCAGGCAGGGGTGGCTCAGCCCAGGTGCCCTCCGTGCTCTCCTCGCGCTGGATGTTGAAGTTCTCGTAGGAGTCCCACCGGATGAGTGGGTCAGACGTGTTGTAGTCCACGGAAACACTGGGCCCGTTCTCCAGGTGCTCCATGCCTGGGAAGAGGCAGGATGGTCAGCCGAGGTGATGATGGAACCATCACAGGTGGGACAAGGAGAGAAGGTGAAGCAAGGAAAAAAGCACAGAAGCCATAGGGCAAGGCAGGAGAGTCATACAGAGAGATGGACGACAATGGGATTTACAGGAAGACCCACAAACAAGGTGTACAAGGCTGGCTGGAGCTTTTGAGATTGCCTAGGGACAGGCGTACAGACAGGCAGCGAGTGTGCCTTTTTGGGTAGAGGCCCTCTGTTCCCAAGCACACCCTCTTTCTCTCCTGGGCCAGCAAATGCTGTAGAGACCAATCTCCTGGGGAAGAGAGTAGAGGGCAATAGGGCACCAGTGGGTGGTTCTAGGTCAGCGTCACTGCCTGCACCTCTCATCTCACTCTGGTGACAAATGGACTCCAAATGGGGCAGGGGTTGGTTGCAAGGAAGGCAGCAGGGGAGGGGGAAAGGAGCCAGCATCCAGCTCCAAACCCCTCTGATGGTGAGCCAGCCATACCTTGGATCTTCTCAGGGCCATAGGAGAACACAAACTCCACCTTTCCATACTCCGGAAAACGGTCATCTGGGAAGGAAAGAGCAGAGCAAAGGGGCCATCTCTATCTATCCCTCCAACGGCACCCAGCCAGCCACCCCAAATATGCCTTAAGGCCAGTAGCAGGTAGTGGATAACCCGTCATGGGGCAGCACATGTCAGCCCCCAAATCAACCCCAAGGCAGCCCCTCCGGATCAGCAATAAAGGGGGTGACATTGCCACCAGTCCCTGAGCAGCACCCACTGGAGATGTGGATGGAGAGTGCCCCGCTTCACCAGAGGTGGATTTAGGGTAGATGCCCACATGTCCCCACGATGGGAGCAGTGTCAAAGGGGTGGGAGGAGGGAGTGGAGAGGTACTGGGGTGGTTACCTCTGAAGGCCTCGTCCAGGTCCTCCTTGCCAAAGACGACATCGAGGTCGTGCACGGCGCACGTGTGGAACTGCACGCGGAAAATCACGTCCCGGGTCGGGCTGCGGAACTTCTTGTGGTAACACTTCAGCTGCAGAAGGCAGTGGGGATGAGCCATCATGAGGAGCCCCATGGCTGGGCAAGGAGGAACCGGGGGATCCCAAGAAACAAGGGCCACCCGTCCTCCAGCTGCTCCCCACATGGGGGGCTGACCCAAGGCTCCTTACCAAGATGTCACCCTTGAGGAGCAAGCCAGGCTCGATGGTGATGCAGATGCCCGTCTGGCTGTCTCCTTGCACGTTGCTGCAGTGAGGGACAGCCCAAGGATGTGAGCTGCAGTGCAGAGCCCCCCCAGGGCACCCAGCACCACCTCAACCAGCCCCTTCCACCCAAACCCAGCCAGGAAAGGCTCAAAGCACAGAGCTGCCTGTCTCAGTGATAGAGGAGGGTCCCATCCCCAACCCCAAAGGGTCACCCATTCCCAGAGGAAGGAAGACGGGAAGGGGAAACTGAGGCACAGCCCAATGAGGGTGTTAAGGATGAGGTATGAGGGTTTGACCAGGATCCGAGTGCTGAGGCTGGGATACCACCCATCCACATGGCTTCCACGGGTCAAGCAGGACACAGGACATGGAGAGAGGACTCTCGGGGAAGGCTCTCCTCCCTGCTTCAGTTTCCCTACCAGAAGCCTTCCCATTCCAGGGGCACCAAGGGACTGCCTCTGGGCGGTGGCATCAGCAGCAGGGAATGAGGGGAGAAAGGAGTTGGATTTCACAGGCAAGATAAACCTGGAGCTTATTACCGGCATCCCATAAACAGTCTATTAAAAGCCGAATGGCAAGGCTGGGATGGCAGTAAATCTCAGCTAACAGGGATGCTGGGCTGCAAGGAAGGGAGACCCTGGTTCAGGGGAGGAGATGGGAACGCCCCCAAGGTTAGGGGGGCCAGGAGCCAGGTATCAGGGGCTGCGATGTGGCCCCAGCAGAGCATCTGGGCAGCTGGAGAAACTGGCTCCTGCTTTGCCTTCTCCCAGGAACAGCACTGAAAAATGGTGTCAGGGTAAACCATGGGAAGGTTAAAGCAGGGGGAAACTCTTCTAGGGAAAAGAAAGAGGTGCTCTAGGACTAACCCAGGCAGGAGGAGCGGCTGTTTGACACATAGCAGGGAAACGCCTCTGTCTCTCATGGAGCTGTCCCCATCCCTGTCCCCGATCCCTCGGGGACACCCAGCCTCAGGCTCTGCGCAGCCCCAGGCTCCCTCTGCTGATACGCAGAGTCACTACAGCCCTCCCGGCAGAAGGGTTCAGTACGGCCCCTGTAGCCAGTTACCGCCTCCAAGGAGATGGAAGACCCTTTCGGTTGTTTTCAGTTCCCTAGACCCCAAATAGACTTAAACAGGGCACCAGACTGCTGGGGACTTGGCCTTGACCCTCTCCATCTTCCCCTGCTTGCCAAGCCCCCATGCTGGGGAGGAGGGAAAAGCCCCATGGTGAGGAGATAGTTACTAGATCCCTGAGGTGTAGACGGGCTGCATGGCCTGGTAGATCTTCAGGAAGGGCCGACAACCTGGAAGACATCAAGGCGGGGAGAGAAGGCAGGCTGCTGTTAGCCGGCAGGGTGGAGGGGCCCGGGCAGGGATTAGTCACGGGGGAGAAATCCAAACAGGGAGGGAGCCAAGGCAAACAGCCGCTCCCCAACCCGGCTGACCCGCACCAGCCATGGGCAACATCTGGGATGGGCAGAAAGGGATGCTTCGGACAGGGTGGGAAATGGGGAAAGTCCCTATACCCCGGTTTGAGTATTGTAGGACCGAGGGGAAGTGCTGGTACTCAGAAGAGATCCCACACTCAGAGACCATCATCCCACTTCCATTCTCAGGCCCAATCTGGTGCCGTCCTCCCAGAAAACCTTTTAAAAGCTTTGTGACCCCACAGCAAAGGTTAGTGACGAGCATAGGCTGGGCACCCCCTGGGGGCATTTCTGTGGGAAAAAGGTAGCACCCTGCTAATAGGAGCAAACAGGCCCTGAGAGGGAATGGGAAATTAAAATTGCCAAGGAGATTGTGGAAAATAACCCCCACGGAGAGGCAGGCAGTGTGGGGTGATGGTATCTGCACGGGATCTGGGCTGGGGGGAGGCATGGGGACACCTACCGCCTTTGGACTCGAAGTTGGGGATGCCATGCATGATGACATGGTGGAGGAAGAGGGGCTTGTTGTTCATCTTGATGCTGCCAGAGAGGAGCCCACTGAAGTAATGGATGTACCTGGAGGATGGACAGGCAGCTCAGGGGCAGGACCCACAGCAGAGCACCCACCTTGGTCCCCCTGCATCCAACCACCCCAGCCATGGGAGCAAAACCCAGCCTCCAAATGCACACCAGGACCCACCTCTTCTGGGACGGCTGTCCCACAGGCACTATCTTGTCCTCATAGAAGCGCTTCATGGCAAATCTGTCCAGAGCCTGGTTGGCACTGTGGGAGAGAAAGAGCAGATGAGGTTGAAGGAGAACATCAGCACCAGCACCCAGCACCGCAGGGATGGAGGCTGATAGAGGGCCCCAGGGCCACCCTGGGACTGTGCATCCCTCTCACCTGGCTGAGATGTTGCTGTAGTGCATGTAGGCAGCCACCACCACCCCCAGCCGGCCACGGTTCCCCTGTGGGCACACAGCAGAAGGGGTGTCACGGGGGCAGCGGTGCCTGCAAGCACCCCTATACACATGCATCAGCCTACACAAGTACCCCAAACCTTACAGACACACACCAATGCACACAAATATGCTGACGCCTGCCCACCCCAAGCCACTAACCACCACATCCCCCGCATCCCTCAGCCTCTGAGGCTGCTCAGCCCTGTCCCTGCAGCCTCTCATTACTGTGCATCCCAAGGACAGGGTCCAGCCCACCTTGTTGTGCAGCACCACCACGTTGTGTGGCACCGCATTGAGCCATGTGTCCATGGCTTTGCAAATGCTGCAGATCTTCTCCAGCGCTGGGGTGTGCAGGTCAGGCCACCCAAAATCCAGCACCTGGGTGGGGGAACAGACAGGGGTCACATCCACACCGGACTCTGCGCCCCTGCATAGCTCCGAGCCTGCCTGTGTACAAAGCCCAGAAGCCCAGAGCAGATACCCAGCATGGGCACCAGGGTGCTGACCTGATGTACCCCTCCCAGCCTCTCCCCCAGCCCCGCCCCCCCCTGCCCAAAGCCCTGCCCTGGGGAGCCCAGCACTGTCCCAGATCTCAGCTCACCCCCTCACCCTGGGTCACTCAGCTGCCCCATGGTGACAGGGATGGGGATGCCTTAGAGAGATCTCCAAGAGGCCCCAACAGCCAGGTCTGGGCTAAGGATGGGGTTGGCTAAGTTGAGATTCCAGAAACTCATTGGGAAGGCACAGTGCTTTCCTCTGAGCTTCCCCTCTCTGCTCCTCCAGTAGCTGGGTGGGATAGATAGTTCCTCTCCCCAACAGCATGCAGCAGGGTGCTGGTCCCACAGACAGCCCTGCTCTGAGCAACTCTGCTTCCCATAGCTCTGACCCACCTTGGGGTGAAGTTTGCTGATATCATTTCTTCGCTCAGAGAGGTTGAAGAGCTTTGGGAAAGAAGAAAGACAGAGTGAGGGAACACACTTCCTCCCTCACTGCCACCTCGTTCCTCTTTGTCACCCCAGAGCCTCCCCAAATCAACCCATGAAAGGCTTCCCCAAACACATTAACCCAAGTAATGCCTCAGCACAGGACAACTCGGTGGCCAAAAACCCACAGAGGGGCCAAAAGGGACTGGAAAGCTTCAATGAAGCTTCCATGTGCCTTAGTGCAAAGATCCCCCGCACCACTGTGAAGCTCAGGTGGAGGCAAGGATGCAGCACCCACACCCTGCAGCCCCTTATCCCCAGGACCTGAGCACCCCAGCCCTTTCCCCAGCCTGGCAGGGTTCCAGCCATGCCCCTCACCACATAGTTGTCCCCATGCTTGGACTTCAGCATGTGGGCCACCTCACGGAGGTTGCTGCAGAAGCTCTGCTCCTCGGCCGTGCTGGGGTAGGAGACGGCAATGATCCGCTCCGTGATGTACACCAGGTCCAGCTCGCAGCTGCTCTCCATGGCCGCTGTCAGGCTCATGCTCCTGGGCACGGGAGGGGGCTGCTGTCAGGACACAGCATGGGGAGGGGACACACTGACCCTTCCCCACCCTGCACCGCCCCGGGGGTTAGGCAAGACAGGCTGGGACATGTGGGGATGCAGTGGCAGGTCTGCCCGCAGCCTTTCCCCCGCTCTCAGCCCCCCTAGGGTGTCCTAGGGACTCAGAATTGGTGATGGCAGGTCATAACCCCTGTGTCTTCTCCACAGAGAACATCTCCATCTGTAGCGAATCTGGAGAAGCAAAGTGTTGGTGGGGGAAGGAGAGAGGTTCAGATCACAAGAAGGGGAAACTGAGGCACCTACCTGGATGCTTTGCGGCGCGACTGCCCACTCCTGGGGGATTTCGTGGCATCCTAAAAACCAGAGAGGAAAGGTGATCCACTACCCTGACCCAACCCACAGCCAGCACAGGGGTCCTGCTAGAGGCGGGTGTGATGATGCTGCTGGAGCATCCCACCCCAGTGACATTGCACTGCACACTCTAACACCCCTAAAACATTGCTGCCTCCAAACACCACTCACTAAGCTTCCCAGTGGCACCAAACACCCTGACAGTGACATCATGCTCCCACCATGGCCATGAGCAAAACCCAGCTCTCACAACCCCAGCGCAGCTGGGACCAGCCACCACAGGCACTGCAGGGCCAGTGCCTTGCTACAGGGTCCCAGCGGACCTTTGAAGAGGATGCTGGGGGTGAGGGGGACAATCTCAGGCACGTCACAAGTCGCTCCAGTCTCAACCAGTCTCCAAGCACACACCTGGAAGGACAGAGCGGCTCTGGCCCTGCTCGGAGCAGTGGCAGGTCCCGCTGCCCAAGCGATGGCGAGGAGCCAGCCAGGGACCATGGTTTGCTTTGGCCTCAGCTCTGCAGAGCCAAGCGCCGGGAGGAAATGTTTGAGCTCTCAGAGCAGGAAACTTCTATTTATGCATGTTCTCTGGCCTCAAGAACTTCATCTGCAGCCGGTTTGCTCAGTGACTTCGTGACCTCAGCCGAAAAACAAAGCAGGGCTTCCAAAAAAGACCGCTAAGGAAAAACACACTCACACCTCATTAGTTTTAGTATCTCCAGCTAATAAGCAGGAGTCATTTAAAGACTCAACTCTGCAGGCAGCACATTCCGAGTCCCTGAAGGATCCAGAAACAAGAGGTGCACCCTGCAGCCACTTATCGATATGTCACTTTTGCTCTGGAGCTGCAGGACCTGCTGCCACCCTCCTCAGGGCTGCAGTATTCGGCAACCAGCATGCTGGAAGCAATGGGATGAGGTGGGAGAGGCTTCCCCATCAGCCTTCACCCACCAGAACAGTCCCAGGGGTGTTCCCATGGGCAGCTCCGTCACCCTCCATCAGCCTCACGTCCCCCATCAAGGTCAGGCTGCCCGGTGGAGCGGAGCTGCACTCAGGCTCTGCTGGGCACAACCACCTCCCCTCTCAGTCGAAGCCGCTGCAGGAGGCAGCAGCCCTGCCCAAGTGCCCGTGGGGGCTCAGGCAGCAGTGGCAACAACCCCCAAGTTCTCCTCAGGGTGCCCCAAACCTGCTCACCCCAGAAACAACACCCCCCGCCACATTCCTGGACTTACAGATACAGCAAAAAGAAAGAGCAAAACACATATAAAAATGAAACAGATCAAAAAGGAGTTAAAACACAGCAAAAACAGAGGTAAAATTTTTCAAGGCAGATCAGGGTGCATGGAGCAAGCTTGAAGCCAAGCATGGGCTCATTCCTGTGTCACCCAATGGTGACCAGGATGGGATCCCCACCGGGGGCTCTGCTCTGCCCCAAACCCTCACAGCAAGAGACACCCGGGGTCCCCCCCTGCACTCGCCAGGGGAGCCCCATCAGCCCCTGTCACCCCACCCAGCTGCAGCACCCTCCCAGCTGAAGCCTTGCCTCATGGAAGAGCTGACACGGGGCAACTGGGACTCACCCCCTCTCCTGCATGGGAAAACTGAGGCACAGAAGGGTAAGCAAGGCAGGAGCACCCCTCCCTCTCCATACCTTAACGGCAGTGAGACCCTTGCTAATCCATTTCCATGGCATGGTGGCTCTGCTCCTGGCACCCTCACAGCCCGGGGGAGCAGGTGCCTGTGGCCAAAGCCCTCCAGCATACCCCGTCCTGGCAGGAGCCCCCCTGGCTCTGCCCCGCTCCCCCCAATCTAATGCCAGCCGTCTCTGCCGCCAGCCGCTGCCCAAGGAGTCAGCCGCTATCAGCTGATAGGAACCAGCACCCGCGTTGCTGAACACTCCTGCCTGCCGCCGGACCGGGAGACCATGGAAAGGTCTCCTCTGGAGCGAGACACCAGCCAAGCCAGTATGTCCCAGTACAGCCCAGAACACAACAGGCTGCTCCCAGCCGCACTGGGTTGAAGACCCCACTGCCAGCCCAATCAAACATCTGCTTCCCAGCCCCAGGCTGGCTCAGCATGTCCCTACACTCTGCATAGCACCCAAAACCCACAGGCCCCTTCTGTGATGCAAGGCACGAGAAAGGCTAAGGAAATAGCAGGAAGCTTCCCCAAAAGAGTGCAAAGCCAGCAGAGGGGAATCCTGACTGTCCCACTAGGTTATTCTAGCTGTGGATCTTCTTTCTCCAGTTAAGAGAGGTGCTGGAAACATACCATGGACAAACAAACGGATGGTGCAAAGCTGGCTCCCAGGTGAGGAACGCTTTCACTCGCTTCCTCGTGGGAACTGCTCTGCCTCCATCTCTCAGGTCCCAGCCCCAGCACACAGGGAGGCCAGAAAGCTGGCTGCGGGCAGGGGGAAGCTGCCTGCGTTGACTTTGGCACTGTGTTTGTCTACACCGCCTTAGCAATTTCATGTCCACTGATTAAATAACATATCCTCAGCTCCAAGACAGGAAAGCCAGCTTTGCAGCAAAAGCCCCAGGCCCCCCTCCACTGGGCGCTGCCACCGACCCTGGGCACCTTTGGCATGGGCATCATCACTGTGGCTGGCAGTGAGGGAGGGCTGGGGCATCCCAGGGATGCTAGGGGACTAGGGGGCATCCCAGGCTGAGGGGTTTTGGCTGCAGTGGGTGCCTGTGGCAATGGGACAGGCACAAAGGGACCCCCCAGGAGGTCTCAAGACAGTCCAGTGTCCATGGCTGGTAGCACTTACCAGGGTGTCTACCTGCTTCCTGATGCTCTCTCCCACGGATGGCTGCAGGCAGGCAGGAGGAGGGGAGGGTGAGGAAAAGGCAAGCGAGAGAGAAGGAGAGAGATTGAGAGACATGCACACACAGAGCAAGGGGCAGGGTCAAAAGTTCCTCCTGAGCTATTTCTGGCCCTTCCTAGGAAATGAACTGCAGTCCCATTTCCTTCCCTGCCTTCCAACATGCCCGCTCTTCCTAAAGGTCGTGAATCCCTCGAAACCCAAGCATGGAGACAGGGCAATGCTCAGGTACAAGGATGCTGAAATCCTGCCTCCTGGAAGCTGTCCCCCATGCTGGACCGCTGATGCAGACGGGTAACACTCAGCCAAACCCTGTGCTCACTCCATGACAGGCACCTGATGCCCCCCACCCCTCCAGGTTCCCATCTGGATCCCCCATGGTCAGACCCCGCAGCCAGGAGGTAAACAACAGGTGAGCCTGGCATGGCCCCACACCCAGCCTGGCCCCTGGCCACCAGCAGGCCCAGCTCCCAAGATAAACCTCACCCCACAGGACTGAAGAACTCCAGCGGGAGTAGAGCAGGGATCTGAGATGGTCAAAAAGGGGCAAATTTGGTGACACACTACCACAGAGAGCTTTGAAATGGGGCTGGGGACAGGAATTAACTTCTCAGGGTTAGGGAAGAGTGTCCAGACCCCAAATATAGACAGCAGGGGACAGATACTTCTGCCTGGGGACAGCTGGCTGTGTCTCCTGAGGGTGGTGCAGCAAAGGGACCCTGTTGGGTGGCTTATAGGGGTCCTGGGACGAGGGGGAGGGAGGAAAGCCCTGAGACCAGGCTGCTCTGGTCCTGGCAGCGAGGCCAGGGCTGCCATTTCCAGCCATGGGACAGGGCAAACCCCTTTTAATTTCCTCCCAAAGCCACAATTAACGGTCCCAGCTCAGAGCCAACATGTTTTTGCTGGTGATAAGTGCCCGAGGAGGCTGGCAGGGGTGGGGGGTGCAGGCAGAGATTAAACCCGGGACAGATAACCACTGCAGGGTCGGGGGGGGGGGGGGGGAGCACCACGCTCTGCTCGCACCCTATCCCCTCGCTCACTTGGACTGACGCACTGCTCCCATGAGCTCTCAAGGGGGCATCCCCAAAACCCACTTTTCAGGTGAGACCCCTGCCAGCTATGGGGTGCCCAGCCCAGGGTTCCGCAGGGGCCATGGCCACCCCAGCACTAGCAGGCTGCCAATCTCAGAGCCAAAACCCTGCCAGGGCCTCCTCTCTCCGGCGCCTGCCCCAGCAAGCCTTGGCACACATCCGGAGCGAGAAGGAAGGGCAGCCGCATGGGCCCCGGGCAACGCCAGCCTCCCTGCCGCCACGTGCCCGCTCTGCCCGCCGCCACAGCACGGGCAGGATGGGGATGGGAGCGCTGCTCAGCCAGCAGGATGCTGCCCGCTGGGCACTGCCATGCCACACTTCCCAAACCTCTGCTCCCACTGCCATCCCAGTGCCCTGCCCGGAGAAGGATGCGTGGCAAAGCATGGCGAAGGACCACAGCTCTGTCTGCCCAACACCCCACTGCCTGTCCTCCCAGGATGGGGTGAATGGAGATTGGGCACACAGCTGTTTTCCCAGTGTCCATAGAGGACAGGGTGGGAAGTGCTGCTCATGGACCTGGCTCCGGCTGCTCTGTAAAGGTCCCCAAGAGGGACAAAGTAAGAGGGTGACAATAGCAAGGGCTGCAAACGTGCGACCTTGGGCGCCCTGATTCAAAGGGACATCTGGTAGAGCCATCTCTGTGTGTGCAAGGAACAGCCTCAGCTCAGGCCAGGGAGAGGAGGCCCTCAGTGACCAGGGAACCCAGAGGAACCAGGGAGCCCCTCTTCCCTGAGGTACAACTCCGCTCCAGAGGTCCTGTGGTGGCTGGGCTGCCCCAGTTGATGCTGCTCAGACAGGGGATGCCCTGCAGCCAGCAAAGCTGGTAGGAACAGCACCAAACAGGGGGGTGCCATTACCCCCAGCACAGGACCCCTGTGGTTTTGGGGCAGCAGACTCACGCCCTGAAGCCCCTAGGCAGAGAAAGCCCCACACCCAGTGCAGAATAGAGTATTGTACCACCCTGCATCCCCAGAACCCTACCTGCCACCCACAGCTCACAGCAGGGGGTCACTTACCAGCTCATAGTTGACAGCGGCAGAGCAGGGGGTCACAGCCTGCAAGCAAACAGAAGAGGGCCAGGGTTAGTCCCTGCAACCAGCACGGTGTGTGGGAAGGGACCAGGCTGCAGCATCCCCCCATTCCCTGAGCAAACTCAGTGCATGCCCTCCCAAGGGGGTGACAGGGGTGCCAGTGGCCCATGGCAGGAGCACAGGCAGCATCCCCAGGTCAAGGCTGGGCTCCCTGGCAATAAGGAGTGGGCTCGGGGCCATGGGATTGGTGCCATTTATGCTCGGGCAGCCCCAGCCCCGGGTGGGCACGGCACGGTACAGCACAGCATGGCTGCCTGATGCCAAGAGCAGCTCCTGGAACAAACCCCAGCCCAGCCTCGTGAGTGCTCCTGCAGCCGCCAGCTGAACAGCCCGGCTATTGTTACCTTAATTACCAGCGGCAATTACTGACAATTAACCTTGGGTTTTGCGTGCACCCCGGCCGGCCGGGAAGCTCTGGCACGCCAGGGTGGGAGCGGCAGCGGCAGCGCCGTGCCTATCGGTGCCGCGGGAAGCGGGAACAGCCGCTCCAGCACCGCGCTGCTCCGGGGATGCCGGCGGTAGCGGCAGGGGGTGACTGGGGACGCTTCGTCCCCTCTGAGCATCTCCATGCGCTCCCCGGAGCGCTGACCCCCAGCCAGCCATCCCCTGCCCCATCCCAGGATGCAGCCGATCTGCCGAACACCACCATGGCAGCACAGGGACCCCCCACACCTCCCTCAACCATAAACAGCAGGATTTGCCCCAGAGACCCCAGTTAGAACACTCCGATCCCACCCCATCCCAACCCCCACTGGGTGATGCCTAGTGCCTGCCCCATCCGCGGCCGCCAGCCTGTTCCCATCCCGCCTCCCTGTTTTCTTCAGGGATTGTTGTTCCTCCTCCTCCCGCTCCCTTCCCCTGCACATTATTATTATGATTTTATTCTAATGCAGAAACGCTTCCATAAAAGGCCCCTTTCCCTGCCCCGAGGCGCTGGCCCCGCGCCAGCCTCCCTGGAATGTTCTCCGGCAGTGAGCTGCTGTGGACGGGGCCGGCAAGGGCTGTGCTGTATCCCGTATCCCGTACCGTGTCCTATGCACCGCGGGCTCTTCCCCCGGGGATGCAAAACCAAGGGCCCCCGGCCCCCACCCATGCCCAGCTCCAGAGGCTGGTGATGGGGGGAGATACACTGCTCCCCCATCATGGGACACGCTGGTCCCAGTAGGATCCATGCCCATCCCTCCTATGCTTCCTATGCTATTGGCATCAGGAGGTTTGCAGGCTGCAAATGCTTCTTCGGGTGGAGAAAGGAGAAAACTGGGGTGCCCATGGTTGTATATCCCTGCCCTAAGGGGATCCTCAGATGTCTAACATGGGCTTGTACTCACCGTACACTGCTCCTCCCATCCATAGGAGACACCAACCCAGCTCTATGCCATTGCTCTCATCCCAGAAAGGCAGCTTTACAAGGACTGCAGGAATGTAACGCTGTTTTCAGCTTCCATCCCTCTCTCATGTTTGACTCAAACATGCCCCACGTTCAAGGACAAGAGGGAAGACCCAGCCTCATGCAACAGACCCCTCCCTGAGGAACTCAAGCTCCTGAGCCAGAGGGGCAGGAGCATCCCTCCTGCTTCACAGGACTTGTGAGAGCATCGCTGCACACAGGATCGGAGTGAGCCAGAGGACCACTGCCACCTCCATCCCCAGGCACCCCGGTGCCCCACAGGGCAGTGACGGGTGGGAAAGGCTGGGAGACCTGCACACCCCTGGCCTAGGCTTCGCCTTGCCATGGCAGACACAGCGGCCTTTCTTCTCCCCCCCCACCGGTGTTTGCATTCCTGCCGCCCGGCTCCCGCTGCCGCGACCCCGCCGCCCAGCAGCCCTGCCCAGGAATGTGAGGAACGAGGCGCAGCACGGCTGCCGCCCACCCCACGGCCCCCCACGGCCCCCCAGGTCGCAGCCCCATCCCTTCCAGCAGCCACATCCCACCAGCCGCTGCCTTGAGACCTGCGTTTTGCCAAGCAGCAGAATCAGTTTCCCGGTGAATGAGGCCTCAAAGCCTCATGATGTCTCATAGAGGGTTGGGAACACCCTGCAGCCTCCCCCTGGAGGGAAGCAACAGGCTTGCTTCACTCGTAACCAGCTGTCACCGTATACTGTACCTAGAACAACTCAGTGCCCTCGAGACGTCCAAACCCAGAAGTAGAAGCCAGGCTAGCTGGTACCTGACAGCTCCTGGACACGTGGCCCCAGGGCAGAGCAGCCCAAGGGAGCCCTCCTTCACCAAACTACCTGCTGCAGGTTGGGGACCCACCTCTGCACCCCAGATCCCTGCCGGGCCTTCAGCACCAGCCCACAAGCATTGAGTGAAGCCGGAGGAATGCAGACATCCACCACGTACCTGGCTATAAGACACCCCAGAGCCTTCTCCACACTGCAACCAATGCTCGCATCTCCCTCCCAGATCCTTCCTCTCCCTTCTCCTCCTCCCTTAGCAAAACAGCCCCTGTAACCGTGGAGGAGCCCAGGGGCATTGTCAGGTCCTGCTCCAGCCAGCGCATCTCCACGCAATGTCAGCAGGGCTGGTGGCAGACAAACCTCCACGGAGGGGCCCTGTGCTTCGGGAGCAGGCTGGGTCAGTGCAGCACTGGGTACAGGGTGGGCTGGGGGAGCACAGGGATCCCCCCAGCCCGGCTGCCTGAGCCGGTCACCAGCTGGCCCGGAGCCCACAGCCCGGCCCGCCCGGCTGCCGGTGTGCGATGCAGGCCCATCTCTGACGCATATCCCTTCCTTTGGGTGGTGGTTTTTGTTTTTCCCTTCCCCAGGAGCTCCGATAAACATTCCCGAGCCATTCGATATCCGGGCCAGTGCTGACCCTTGCGATGCCGGGAGCAGACGCAGCAACACCCACCCCAGCCCTCGAGCAGACCCCAGCATGCCAGAGCCACTTCCCATGGCCAGGCACTAAGACACCAGCAAGCCAGCCTGGATGGTGTGGTTGGGACAGGAGACTTGCTATGAAAAGGGGTTTCCCTTAACATCCTGGTCTACTCCACAGCGAGCCAGCATCAGACAGGCACAGCCCTCCTGGCCCCACTGTGCAGAAGAGATCTGGACCCCAAAAGAGGGGGAAAAGGCACCTTACTCCTTCCACCCCCCCCGGAAAGGTATCCCCTGTCCAAACCACCCTGTGGGCTGGAAACACTTTTGCCAAAGAGCATAGTGACTCAGTGACCAAACTGGCACCCCATGGGACCACACTAGGGTAGCACCGATGCCAGCTCATCACACGTCACCCCATGGTGGACTGCTTCCCTAGGAAGACCACCTAAGCTCTGTGCCACCCACAACCCAGCTGGGCTGTGCAACTCCTCCCCATGCACCCCATGGCTCTCTGCTCACCCTCAGAGCCTGCCTCAAGGAAGGTTGGGGTGGGGTGCCCAGGGCCCCCAGCCAGCACAGAGCCCTTCTCCTGCTCACCAGCCCCACAGCAGTCCCCAAGCACTGCAAACCCCCCTCTTAGACATAGTGTGGGGCAGAGCAAGACATCTGCTCTGACACCGCATGCAGAAGGCATTGCAAGGGGATGGGCTGGAGCCACCAATTGAGGTGTCAGGGAAGGTCTTCCCCTCTCCAGCACCCCTGTTTCCCCACTCCTGCTGGGATCAGCTGCAGCATCCTTCCCCCACCAGCCATAAGGATCTATAGGGTCTAGGCTCAGAGTGCCCCTGCAGCCAGCCCACTGCCCTGCCTGGGGGTGAGGTCCCCCAGCCCACACCACATGCTGCCTGCTCCTGCCCTCACATTTCTTGGAGCTCTGGCAAATCTCCTGTTTATGCAACAAGTCCCCAGCGGGAGGACGGCATGTTTCCATCCGCACCCGCTCCCCCCTCGCCTCAGCTCCGCCCTGACACAAGGGTCCTGGGGAGGAGGCAGCACCCCAGCACCACACAACCCCTCTCTGCCCCCACCAGCACTCAGGGCTCTGCTGCTCTGGGGGTTCCCCCCTTCAGGAGGGGGGGCCAGCTGTGCCAAAAGGCAGGGGAGCGGCTTGGCCGGCGGCTCTGGGTGAGTCAGGCTGGGCTGACGCTGGGGCATAGAGGTCTCACTGCTCCCAGGCTTCCCTCCGAGCATCCCTGTTCCGCCCCACAGCTGGACCAGGACTGTCACCATGCCATCCCCTCTATGCTGGGATGCCTGGCAGTGCCCGTGCCAGGGCACAGCCCACAGAGCTGCCCTGCCCCTGCATCACCCAGGAGATGCTGGTGGTACCCAGGGAGGTTACCACAGAGCAAAGAACCAACACGGTGCCAGAGATGTCCCCCAGGATGGGATGGACTCCATCCCCTCTGTGTTCCCTCTCTGGTATGTCCTCAGGGAGCCGCCTCATGGCCCACCCCCGCCAGGAAGGCGGCAGCAGGGCCAGGAGAGAGGTCACCCAGTACACCCAGCCCTGCAGATTGGAATTGAGATACCTATGGGGACACCAGCTCTTCCACCCTGCATTGGCCCTGGGGCCACCACTGGCACCCCAATGCACCCACAGCATGGCCAGGAGAGCGATGACCCCTCCTGCAGGCCTGGCGTGGGGAGAACAGGACAGGGAAGACAATGCATAGGGAAGCTCTGAGGGGTTGTGATGGAGGCAACACCACCAAAATAGCCCTGGTCCAAACCCAAATAAGGGCAGGTCCCGGCTCCAGGCTGGTTTGAGCAATCGGCTCCAGGGTTGCCAAGTGCCAGCTAGGGGAAGGAGGAGAAAGTAGCACCCCAGGGCCTGTTCTGCGGGGATGAAGAAGGTTTTGGGGGTCAGGAGGGGAACAGAAGTGCCTCCGCATGCCCACGACAGGGCCTGACCCTGCTCTGCCAGCAGGCACTGCCTCAGCGTAGGGCTGGCCATAGGCAGGGATGTGCTGAGCTCCAGTGCCTAAAAAGGCAACATCTGCAGGCAGCAGGTCTGGATCCAGCCCTTTGGGCCAGCGCGTGCCTGCCTGACACCAGCCCCACACCCCCAGCCATGCTCCGCTGCCAGCACCCACCCATGGGTGCTGCTACACTGCTGCGGGGACACCCCACTGAGGGGACACCCCTCACCTTCGTCCAGCCACCCTGCCCCAAGGGAGAGTGTGGGGTCACTATCCCCCTGCGCACGGGGGTGCTTTCTGTCCCCTATCAACACCTCCCCTCCAAATATCAAGCCAGCCACCATGATTGGCCAGGGAGCAATTCCCACACTAGGGATTGGCCAGGAGTCACACTGGGATTAGTTGAGACACTGTGCTGCAGGGGGCTTCACCAGGATTGGGCCATACACAGGTTCTTACATGGGATTGGTCCATGCATGGATTCTTAAATGGGATTGGGCAGCAACTGGATTCTCACCTGAGATTGGTCAATGCATGGATTCTTAGATAGGATTACTCAACACACAGATTCTCACACAGGATTGGTCAATATGTGGGTTCTGAGATGGGATTGGTCAGAGCAGTGATTCCTGCACAAGACTGGTCAGCGCATGGATTCTCACATGGGACTGGTCAACAAATGGATCCTGACAAGAGAATTGGCTGGGGCATAGGTACTTACATGAAACTGGCCAGCACACTGGCCTCTGAACAGATGGGCTGGCTGCTTGTGCCCTGTGGTGAGCACCGTGGGGGCACTGCCCTACAGATTCCCTCTGTGATGCTGGTAGAGCACCAGCAAGCCCAATTCCTAGGCATAAAGACCCTACTGCAGGCTCTGGTCTGCCCCATGGCACGAGGGCGACCCGCCAGTACTTGTGGGGCTGCAACCCACCTCTAATGATGGTCATGGTGCCAAAATAAGCCCTGACTGCCCCAGGTGGTCTGTGCCTCCCAGCACCAAGCCCCTGGGCTTCTCTCATGGGGCAAAGCCCCAAGCAGATGGAGACCAAGGTCAGTGCCGTGTCTCCATCCCATGGGACAGAGCCAGATAGCAGAGTGAGCAGCACTCCCATAACTGGGGTCCCCCATCTATGGCATCAGGAGGGTGAAGAAGAGATGGAGCTGCTCCCACTCAACCAGGGGCCGAACCATAGGGCTGCCCTTCTCTCTGCACCCCAACACCCAGCAGGGCAGCTCCAGTGCTGATCCAGGACTGCCAGCATTGCGACAAGATGCCCAACAGATGGGCTGCACAAGGCCACGCACAGGACAGCAGCAAAGCAAGCAGGAGAATGGCCCAAGGCAGGCACAGCTCTCTCATCCCCTAAGTAAGGCAGAGTGCAAATGGACCCCTTGGCTCAAGACGCCAAAAAGGAAGGGAGACGGGAGCACAGCCCCAAGCACAGCACGTACCCTGGAAGGGGACAGCAGGCCCGCAGAGCAACAGGAGTCCTGCCCTTCCTGGAACAGGGGGCAGCAGGATCGCTGACAGAGGCTTCATTAGATACGGCGCAGCTTGGGCTCGTTTTCCCATGACCCGCTTTCCCGAGGGGTGCCACCCCCAGGGATGGCTTCAGACTCCCGGCAGAACACACGCAGCCCTCCCAGTGCCACCACGCTGTAGGGACAAGGGGTGCCTGCTTGGGCTCCCCCCCAGCACTGGTCACGCAGCAGATGCCCCCCCAGCACCCTCCATGAGGACCAAGGGGGTTATGAAGTCACTGTCAACACCCTGTCCCTGTCCAGCTGCCCCACAACACCCCACGGGGTCAGCGGACCTGCTCCAGGGGCTGCTTCTGACGCCGAGCGGGACCAGGCGCCCCAGAACGGAGCACTTCTCTGTTTTCTCTTGTTTTCCCCTTAAAACTAGGAGGGCTGATGCCTCGCTCAGCCGTTTCCTCTCCCAGGAGCACAGCCCAAAAACATCTGCGCCGCGACATGCCCTGCCGGATTTAACCCTCTGCGGGCCCGGCGGCGCCGAGGGGCCGGGGGTCCCTGCTCGGGACGGTGTGGGGTGCACCCGCCGGGGCTGCCGGGCTCCTCGCCACTCATTAACCCGGGTTTAACCATTGACGGTCCCGCGGAGGGACCGGGGAGCGGGGGTTAACCCATGGGCTGCCATGGGTGTCCCTGCCCCGGGATGCCCCTCCCGTGTCGCCCACCGCAGGGTGACAGGAACCCGCCCGGCCGCGGGGCGGGAGCGGGGCGCAGGGGGAGTTCCCCGCTTTCCCGCGCAGCCCTGGCTCCCCGGGGACAGGTCCCTGCGCACTCGGGAGGGGACGCCAACCCCAGCGCCTGTGTCCCCCCTCCGGGGCATCCCCAGGGTCACCGGTGGGGAGGGGGGCACGGGGAGCACGCCCCCCCCCCCCCGAGCTGCTCACAGCTCCCAACCGGCAGCAAACTGAGCCCCCTCCCCAGATCCTCCTCTCTGCGAGCACCGCACTGCCCGCTCCAAGGCCCCCCGCACCCCGAGACTCCCTCTGGGGAGCGACAACTGGGACCCCCCCAACACGCGGGGGGGGGCAGCACCCCCCAACACGCACCACCCCATCACCGCTTGGGCGTCATGCGTATCCCCCGCCCCCTGAAGAGATGCCACCCCGCGCAGCACACACACGCCCCCGGGGGCGCTGGGGACCCCCCTGCCCTCGCTGCCCACCCGTACCTGGTTCATGACGCTCCCGAAATCCATCCGGGGTCTCGCCTGCCTACATCCGAAAGGGACGGCAGCGCTGCCTCACCTGGCCCGGGGGGCGCGGGGGGCGGCCGGGAGGGCCGGGGGGGGCAGGCGGGAGCCCGGCGTCGCCCGGGCGGGCGGGCAGGCGTGAAGGCAGACTGCAGGCAGAGCCCCCCTCCCTCCCCGGGCCAAGCCTGGAGAAGGAAGGAAGGAAGGACGGAGGGAGGAGGGAGGGGAGGGAAGGAGGGGGAGAGCCGAAAGGTTTCGCTCCCCTCAAGCAGGACCCCGGCGATGGTGGAGCGCAGGGGGGCCCGCCGGCCCCCGCTCCCCTCCGCACCCCCGGGGCAGCCGGGGACTGGGGAGTTCGGGGGCGCCGGCTCCCGCTCTGGGTAGGAAGGGGGTCCTGGGCGGCTTTTTCCACCCCTCCCCTTTCTCCTCTCGCTCCTTCTCCCTCTTTCTTCTCCTTTTCCCTCTCTTCCCAGCTGCACAGCGCGCTCCAAGTCCAGCCCCGCTCCGCTCCCCTCGCCTCCCCTAAAAACGCCCTTAAAGGCAACCAGGAGCCCTTATCAGGCAGCTGGCCCTGGGTGAGGGGTACCAGAAAGTGAGCAGACACCCCCCCCCCCCAAAAAAAAAACAATACCCCCCCAACACCTCCACTGCGTCCCCTTGCAGAGTGCCTTGCACTCCGTGCTGAGGGGCCACAGCGAGCGATGGGGTGCAGCGGGGTCAGGGCCTTATCGCCCCATGTGACGCCACCAGTGTCCCAGTGCCCTTGGCTGGAGGATAGCAGGGACAGGGCTATGGGGCCCTTCTTGGGGCTTTTATCTGCCTGGCACCCCCTGGCACAACTTGGTCCCCCCTTCCACACGCAGGACAAGGTTCCCAATTAATGGTCCTTGGGTGCCTGGCACCTTGCAGGATGTTTTACCATCCCACCCCCCAAGTAAAAAGCAAGGCCAAAATGCTGTAAAAGCCATGGCTGTCCCTCAGCACGTGGAGCCACACCAGTCCCCACCTGCCTGTCCCAAACCCAGGGTGTGCCCAGCATCCCCCTTGCCTTCCTCCCATCTCCCTTCCTCCTCCTCTGGGGCTCTGTGTGCCCATGGCCAGAGCTCTGCTCTCCCCGGCAACCCCTGGAGCAGCCCAGTGCTCAGTGCTGGGAGACCCGGGAGCGCAGGGGGAAGCCCCCTGCAGTGCGGGGCAGGGGGGGCCGCCGGCAGCGGCCCATGGAGCAGCGAGCCGGCCAGGGAGGCAGCGAGCCAGGCACCCGGCCCAGAGCTGTTGACATTTTCTCGCCCAACGCCTCCCCGTTCCTGTTTGCGTTTCCGTCCTCGCAGTGTGGGCTCAGCCAAAGGGCTGGGGCTGGCTCTATCCCCGCGGAGCAGCACCTCTGGGACCCCTCCTGCCTCACCAACCCCCAGGAGTCACCGGGGAGGGGACGGCGGTGGGCGGCTCTCCCTCTGCCCTCCTTCAAGACTCCTGTAAATGCATCACCTTTGTGAGTGCAATCCCACTCCAGCCGATCCTGCCCAACCCCTCCATGCCTGTTTCCTGAGCAGCCGGATAGTGCCATGGGACAGGAGCACCGAGAGGCACCAGCAGACCTGTCCTGCTGCCGAGGATGAGGCACCAGAGCCCCGACATCCCTGAGTGGCACCTCTTCATCCCCTCCCAAGGAAGCACCTGCCGCACTGTCCTCCCTAGCACCCAAGGGCATGGAGCTGAACCCCAGCAGCCACCACGCTGAGGACAACTCCCCCCAGCCAGCACCCACTAGCACCCCCAAACAAGCTCTGTGAGCAGCACAGCCCCCCAAAACCAGGCATCCCCAAAAGAGGGGAATACTGCAACTGGGATGGAGGGGCAATGAACATCCTGCACCAGGGGAAGTGGGCACAGATCCCAGCTCAGCTCCCCATATGGACCCACATAGCCCCAGTTCCTTGGGAGGCGGCTGCAGGCCAAACCCTGGGAAACACCAGCAGGGGAAGAGCCAGGGCCAAATGGGAAAATAGCTGAGTGGGATGGAAATGAGTAGATGAGCAAAGGGCACTGACAGCAAGTCCCTGTCCCCAGGAAGGTGACGGGAGCTGTCCCCTGGAGAGCTGATATGTCCCCTTCACAGGACACAGCCAGAGAAGTCCTGTCAACATCCCTGAACTCCAGCCACCTCCTGGAGCTATCAACTCAATGTACCAGTGAGAGCAGGTCCAGCACCAAGTGACTCCAGTGGCCTCTGCACCCCATGGGCTCCCATAAGCACCCACTGAGAAACCACCCTCCACCTGAACCACCTCCTCCACAACCCTAAACAAGCCCCTTTGAGCATCACTACTCCAGATGTCAGCAGCAGAAGGGGAACCTGGGGATCAGATGCCTGGGGGGGTCATCTCCAGAGGCGAAAGCACACAGGAGGTGAAGCGCCAGTGCAGAGCTTTCACCTGGTTTGGGGTCAGTGGAGGTCCCGGAGGACCCCCAGCACCCTTCCCAGCACTGGTCCCAGGAGGGGTGGCCACAATGGTCTGGGAAGGGAGCAAATCGGTGGGAAACAAGGCAGAAGCCTTCTGCGGGAACCTGTGTTCAAGGCAGATCCCACTTCCCACCACCGCAGAGCCCTGGAGGGCCGGATCTGGCCCTGGTTTCCCGCGAGGAGGGAGGGAGGCTGGTGGTCCCCACTGCCCCAGGTGACACCCCCCTGCCAGCCCTGGCCCCTGCTCACCCATGCAGAGGCTGGGCGATCTCAGCAGCCCTGCTCCCTGCCCACCCTCCCTGTGCGCAGCAGCACCCGGAGGGTGCAGAGGAGAGCCCCATCTCCTCCGAGCAGCCAAGACGACACCTCCGCCGGCCCCCCCGCCCCAGAGCTCAGAGAGGCTGAATATTTGGGCAGTGACGTAAAGAAGGGGAAAAAGGAAAGAGGGAGGGGGGGGAAATCCCCACAGAACCCCCTCCAGGACATGCTGCACAAACACGACCTGGCACAGCACCAACGGCAGCGCTGGCCCCCACAGCCCCCCCATCCTGCCACCCCGGCTGGGCCCGTGCCAGGACCAAGGACACATTCCTGCGGCATTCCTCCCCCCTACGGCCTGCTCTGCGTGGAGACTAGGGGTGTTTCTAATTACCTGTCCCGAAACACTGGGGGGTGGCTTTGGATGGAACATCGGGGACAGGGATGGGAAGCAGTGAGGCTGCAGAGGGTGCATAGAGAGCACAGTGGCTGGGACAGTGAGCAGGCACAGGACACGTTCCCTAGCACAAGCTGGGACATGGATGTCCCCTCCCTACAGCCCCTGTTCCTGGCACAGCCATGGGGAGCCTGCCATGCCCCCCCACTTGGTGCATGTGCCTCCAGCACTGCCCGGGCCTCTGGCCATGGCACAAACTGGAGAGTACCCATCACCATGAGTCAAGCCTGCCCAGAAGGGTCCAACCACCCCCTGCCTCAGTTTCCCCTTCTGGCTCTGATTCGCTTTACTGGTGGGGGTTCCCCACTGAGGGCAGGAGACACACATCCCCTCCATCACCACCCTGTGCCCACCCACTGTGATCCCCCAGCACCAAAGAAGGGCCCATTGGCTCTGTGGGCACTGGGAGCAATTGCTCCGGCCAGGACGCGCCTGGCTGCCCAGCCCTGGCCCTGCTCCAGCCTCTGGTTTAATGATGGACAAACAACCCCTCTGGAGTCCCATCGCAGGGGGCACTTGAAAAACAAGCTGGGCCTGGCACACGGCCAGTGGGGATGGATGGTTCTGAGCTGGGAGTACACGCATGTGACCACACAGCCATGTGCGAGCACGCTTGTGCACACACATGGATGTGCTTGCACACACGTGCACGCCCTGCAGGCTCACACACACACGTGCATCTGCAAGCATACTTGATCATGCACACATGTGTACATGCATGGTTGTGCAAACACATTCATGTTCAGGCACATGCATGCACTCTCACACACTTGCAGGAGCACACACATCATCCCAATATGGCTCCAGTGCTACTGTCAGCTTCCCAGGGGAAACACCGTGGGACAAGGCAGCTCGCAGGCGCCCCAGCCCCACGCTATGTGCTGTGCCTCAGTTTCCCCCTTGGCAAATACTGACATCCCCGCTCCCCCAGGAGCTGTGGGCCCCAGTGTGCTATGGGATGAGCGGGGCAGGCTGGAGCCCTGCCAGGCCCAGGGGCTGGCACAGCCGCCACTTCCCAGAACCACCCGTCGGCAGTGGCCAGCCGGTTCGGCAGCCAAACACCGCAGCTCTCCCTGTCCTCAGCCAAACCAGCCATCAGCAGGCAAGCTCCTGCCACAGGGAGAAGCATCATCCCCAGTCTGTTCTCAGCCTCTCCAAGTAGCATCATGGCAAAATCCAGCCACAGTGAGTGAGTAAATCCCAGGGGATGGGGACACCCCCAGCACTTCCTTTGCTCCACAATTTGGAGCATCCTCAGGCTTCTCCCAACATCTTGTCTGGGAGGGCAGCGTCACCACCAGATCCTGGCTGTGCCACAGCCAGCACGCGCCCACACACGGGCTCATCCACACTTGACCACTTCCACGGAAAGCACTGCACCCAATACCATGTCCCCATCTCTGCCTGTCCCCGGACAAGGCTCCGTGACTCAGTTTCCCCACTTTTGAAAGGAAGCTGCACCCCTCCTTGTTTTGGGCAGGCAGGGAGGGAAGGAGGGGACAGGCTCAGTGGGTCAGATACACACCAATGTCCATCCATCCGTCCTCCTCGGAGGGAGGGAGGTTTGCTAAGCAAAGAAAAATCCCTGAGCGGAGGCACCGAGCATGAGAAGGGCCTTACATGGGCATGGGAACAGCGTCGTGCTTCCCAGCTGATGTGTGTGCGGCTGCCCTGGCCCCCCCAGAGCCGGGCACCCTGCCAGCACCACTGCCACTGCAGGGCACGGGTCCCACTGCTGGCCCTGCCACTGTCCCTCAAGCAGGGGGGACCTCGAGGGGTGCAGATCACTGCCAGGGCACAGCTCTGCCCAGTGACTGCCTCCTTGGGGACACAGCGTGCCCCAGCACCCCAAAACCTCCCTGGGGTCTCCACACACACCCCAAATATCCTCATCACACCCCAGGTACCCCCTGGCACCCCACACCATCATCCCCAGTACAGTCCTTCACACCCCACCGGCCCCCTTACAGACACCCCTATCTCTCCCCTCTACCTTCTCCCACCATACCCCATCCATTTGGGATAAGTGGGGTCTTCCCCCCACCCAGACCAGGAGCCAGCTGTGCTGGGGGACAGCCAGGGGGGACAGAACAAGGGGTCAGGGCAGGTCCCAATGGGGTAAAGATGGGAACCAAAGTGAAGATGCTGCCAACAGCACTGTAGGACGGGCTCCAGGGTCAGCAGCCACTAAAGGGGGGAACACCAGCACCTCGGCAGCATGTCCAGGGCAGAAAGAGGATGCCCTTTGGGGTGCAGCTGCCAGCAGTTTGGAGGTGAGCCCACCTACCCGCTTCAAAGTATCCTGGGGGTGCAGGGGTTAAACACGAGGGGCTCCAGGTATACAAGAGGCCATTTCTGCTCAGTGCCAAGCCCCTTCCCCATACTCACCCTCCCCAGAGACCCTATAATAACAAGGCAGTGTGTGAGTCAGCTGGATGCTTGC